ATTTGAATTGAGCAGTAGTCCTCTTGGACATGGCATGTGACACTTGGATAGCTGCAAAGAAGCTAAAGCACCTGACACATTCCAGACAATAGAGCCTTTGCCATCCAGAGGCAGGGCTGTTGTTTGAGGCAACTTGGGGGCTCTGAATCCCACCCTACTGCACACATAGTGTGGGCCACAGTCCCCCAGGGAAAACACAGTTCTCAGGCCTTGTCAAGGGTATTCTAGAAAGGGTGGGGAGGTTCCCTGGTCAAATAGCTTTGGGCAAAATTTGGTTAAACATATTTCTTTACTGTTGGTTTTCTTAACCTTTCCTGTGCTGATGTGTCAAGCCAGTGCTCCAGGTGAGCTGCTTTTTTACAAACTAATTTGATCAGAGAGCATTTCAAAGAACCAAAAACACACCTGGTTGGCAGAATCTGGATCAAATAGTTTGCAAGTGATTAACATTGTAATATTTTAGGTCTTTGTGATGGCCTGGGTCTCTCTAGAAATTTCTGGTGGTGATTTTTCTTCACTTGCAAAAGACTGGGCTGGGAGTTCAGACAGATCATAGAAGCCTTACTGCTTCACAACCAGAAGTTGTTTGGTGTTGGGGGACAGTTAGAAAAAAATCTGTGCTGCTCTGATAAGTGTGGAGCCATCCTATTTGGAAAGGGTGCATATCTATTGTCATTTTGTAATATCAGTACTAATTTGCAATTTATGACTTTCTAAACCTATTGTAGCTGAGTGGAAATGAAATGTGTGTAACTGGTGGTTTGTGTTTTTGGTGGAGAACTGACTGAAGTTTATTGCTAACGTTTTAGTGCAGCAGTTGTTTGTCATGAATGCCAAACCTACCCTCATTGGGGGTCCCAGTGGGACCCAAGGTGGACTGCCAAAGCCCTTGCCTCCTCATTCATAGCCCTTACAATGTAGGACATTTCATTCACTCCGTAACTGCTTATTGAACATGTTTCGTGTGTGGCTCTGAAGATAGAGGTGAATACAACAAAGGTCTCACTCCTGCAGAGCTTATGTTCCAGGGGTAGATGCTGCCAGTGAGCAGATAAACAACCCGTTACAAGCTCCAGGCCTTGTATACAAACACAGTCCTCCCTTTAATCAGGTGGTTTACCCTAAAGTTCTCTGCCCCCAGCTTTCTGTTCCCATTTTTTTCATTATGCCTTGCACAGAATAAGGGCTTAATAGATATTTGTGATTACATAGCAGCTGATGTCACACACATGAAGAAGTACAGAAGGAGTTTATTTCAAACATTGGATGATTCTTACATGGTGTGCATCAGGTGGTAGGCCAGGGCACAGAGCTATTTTAGATGCTATATTCCTAGTCTCCCAGTCTCCCTGACAAGTAGCCTGGGTGGGATCCATGCAGGATGTAAACCAGAGCATGCTTTGGGAGCATAGTTCAAACTTGGGGTTTCCTGAAGGAGACGGTGTCTATACATGGATGAGTGTTGACCACGAGAGAGAAGATGAGAATGTGTTCTAGGCAGAGGGACTAAACCAGGCAGAAGTCCAGAAGTGTGACAGAAGTATGGAATGTGCAAGGGACAGTGCCAGAGTAATGGTCAGGTGGAGGGTGGCCTGTTTGAAGGAGCTCCAACCCCGACCATTGCAGAGTTTTAAGTTAAGCATGCATTTTGCACAATTGCTTCTGGTTGCTCTGCAAAAGCCAGACTTAGGGGGTAAAAGTAGAGGCAGAGAAGGAAAATCTGAACTATGGTGGTGGTGGCAAGGGTGGATCTGCTTGGATCTCACCTGGTGTTCCTGTTCTTGGGGTGGCTGATTTCAGAGCTCAGACCCCCATGGTCCCCTCTATAACCTCCCTCTGCCGCTAGCTGAGCATCATGTCATTTGCAACGCAGAATTAGTTGTTCCCCCTTCAGATGGAACCTCTCCCAGCTCATACCTGGACTCTGCCACATAGTCATGTCCTGTCCTGTCCCAGGGGCCCCCAGGCAGCCCAGGCTTTCCATAGTTGCCCTCCTATGTACCTGCAGATCAGAAAGCCCTTCCTCTGCCGTCCAAATGGTTCTCTCTTTGTGTAGTCTTTTCTTGCTAGCCTGACAATTATTTTCTCTAGTGCCCTCTCCCCTTGTTCATCCCTTCATCAAATACTTGTTGAATCCCTGCAGGCTGCCAAGTACTGTTCTCACAACACAGGACAGCAAGAGGGAACCAGGCAGTCTCCAGTCTCCTGGATTGACAGACCATAAACCCATAAAAACATAGTGTATCAGCTGTTGATCCCTGCTGTGAAGAGAAAGAAGTATCTGCTTTTTTTTTGAGACCAGTCCAAAGTTTCTTCTAGGGAGTATAGTGTAAGTCTGCAGCATCAAGGCTCCACCTCTCAAGCTGGAGGCTGTTAGAGACAAGGGCAGAAATCAAGCTCAGTGTGCCTTAAGCAAAAATCAGCATCTGTTGACTTAGCAGAAAAGTTTTGGGGGTCGGGTTAGCTTTGGGCCTGCTAGATTCTGGGCTTCCAGCTGTAGGATTCAGTTTCCTCCCCTGCTTCTTGCTGGATTGTCTCCAGTCCAAGGTCCCTTGTGATGACAGGTAGCTGCTGGCAGCCCCAGGGTTACCTCACACCAGTTCAGCAGAGAGAGAGCTCCCCTTCCAGTAGCTCCAACAAAATTCTTGAACCTGAGTCTCATTCACCATCAACAATCTGGCCTTATTCATGTGTCACAGTGTCCCCTGAAGTCAGGGCATGCAGTTCTCCTTAGGCCTGTAGCCAGGACTAGGTTCTATCTGAAACATGGAGTGGGGGGAGGTGCTTGCCTAAAGAAAATGGGGGTTTGGAGGTGCTGGGCTGGTCCAACCCTGGCTTCTTTCTGTGTGCCTTAGCGCCTTGCTGCTTGACAGGAGTTGAACACAGAAGCAAGGCTGGGGCCTGGACCTCCAGCACTGAGGCTGGGCTTGTGGTGTATAGGGCAGCAACAGAAGGTCTCTGGGATTTCCCATGGTAGACAAGTGTCACTAAGCTGCTGCCAGAGTCCTTCCAGCATTCCCTTGCTGTCATTTATTGCCTGGCTTAGGCATGATCATTCATTCATCCATTCATCCTGGTCTGTGGGCAGCAACTACACACTGTGCCAGGAGATGGCTGCTTAGGGAAGCATGGAAACTTTGATGGCGACCCTTCCACCTTCCTCCCTTTAACACTTTGGTCTCACACGTCATTCACCTGTGCTCACTGTGGGCTGTGTGCAGTGAGGACTTTTTCCGTGAATCTGACTCAGGTATGGTATAGCTTCAGTAAGCACGGTAGAGGGAATGGTCACCATCAGTGGGCCATTGACTCAAAGTGAAGATTGGCATCTGTCCTGCTTCTGCAGGGAAGGGGAGTTTGGGGGGATGGGGAGTGGAATGGGATCTGTTTGATTCCATCTCAGTCTTGTCTGTTATACTCCTCAAACCCTGTCTTCATTCCATTTTTATTGTGGGTGATCACTGTCACTTACTAACTGGTCTCCGCACATTGTCCATTTCTCCAAATTGTTCTCTTAAACCCAAACCAAGCACCATGCTTCCCCCACTCCTTTTACAACACTTCCCAAGTCTTCAGCATGGCCACCATCCACCAGGGGCTCCGTGCCTTCACACCTGCCACTCTCCCTGCCAGATTCTTCTCCTTGAGGCTTCGGCACAGCCACCTCTTCTTAGGGAGGTTTCCCTGATACTCCAGACCAGACACTCATACCAGCTCCCCACCTGAGCACTCTTATGAACTGTGAACTATGCCTCCCTTCTGTATGGCAGTTCTGCTGGAGCAAAACTGTGTGAATATAGGTTCTTGGTTAATCTCAGCCTCCTATGACTGGGGGCTCTGTGACAGCAAGACTGTGCAGGTGCTCCCCAAATTCATGACTCCCCTGGCTTCCCTCCACTCTCTGTCCTTAAGTGCTGAAGGAGACCCCACAGGGTTCATGAGTACACTCAGAGCTACCACACCCAGGCCCTAAGACAATTAGAGGCCTCCCCCATGGGTTAAAGTGGTCCTCGTTTATAGTCCCATAGCTGGCAGCAGAGGCTTCCTGGACTGCCTTGCCAATAGATAGGAGAGAAATGGTATTGCCCGAGAACACCAGGCAAAATAACCCTGGTCCTGTCATGTGACAGGATATCCCAAAGGATTTTTTTCCTTCAGAAGCCATGCAGGATGGACTCACAGACTTTTGTAACTCCATAAATTTTTTTTTTTAAAGATAGAATGGAAGGGAGGGAGGGAGAGAGAGAGAAACATCGATATGAGAGAGACACATCAATTGATTGCCTCCCACTTGACCCTTGCCAGGGCTGGGGATCAAACCTACAACCCAGGTACGTGCCTTTGATTGGGAATCGAACCCATGACCCTTCAGTCCTCAGGCTGATGCTCTAACTGCTGAGCCAAACCAGCCAGGGCATAAGTTCTTTTTTTGTTAATGGCTGCTCACTAAGAAAAACAGGTGAAATGTTGGGCTGGGGTTCTCTAAAGAGCATGAGCCATGTAGGCAAAGGTTGCCAGCTGGTTGCACCGTGGCCTCAACTGGCCTGCAGATTTAAAAAAAAAAAACAAAAACAAAAAAAACTAGTCTCCAGCATTTGAAATTTAGGAGATGCCATGTAAATATCTGACATCCCTGCACTGAATTCCTTCAAAGCCACGGTTGGTGGTGCTGAATAGCTGCCACCTCAGATGCCTTGCAGCTCCCCACACTCTCCACCATTCTCCCTTGATCAGTGACATGGCCTGCTCTAAGTGAGTCTTAAAGCCTTTTTATTGGTATCTAATATGCATACGTATCCTGCAGTTGTGTCGAATTGTCACAAACTGAAACCCCACTCCTCCATATCATGAAACTTTTCTAAGTGATTTGATGTTCTTTGGAGTTACTAGTTTTACACTGTTTTTTGTTTGTTTGTTTTTAACTTATTACAAACAAATGTAGCTTTGTTTACTGTATGAAATAGTGTTGGGGGGAAAAACACCAATTTTTCTTTTTGCAGAAAAGCCTGCCATTGCTCCGCCCGTCTTTGTGTTTCAGAAGGATAAAGGACAAAAGGTAAGGGGCTGGTATGTTCTCTCTTCATATTTGGTTTTCTCCCAGAGAAATCTCTTCCCAGGTCACATGGCCAGGGATAATTTTGCCCTTTAAGCCTTGACATCGAGCTTGGAGGAAAAAGGTCCAGTGGCTTTAGGTTACCATGGCAAGAGGTTGAGATAGGTGTGTGTAGAAAGGGTTCAGAGACCCTGCTTTTTAAAAATGGTGGTAAAAAGCTTTCTTTTCATTCTTAATGATTTGATTTAGAAGTACTACTATACATTAGGAAAACTAGTAGGAGAGAAAAGAGTAGGAGAAAAAAAGGTAGAAGGAAGGAGAGGAGGAAGAGAAGGAGGGACAGGGAGAGAGAGAAAGTGGAGGAAAGAGGAGAGAAGGAGAGAGCAATGTTGGTTAAGGGGGGGAAACAGGACCTTAAAAGATTTTAGGGAGATTTTTTTGGCCCCAACCAACTTGGTATAAATGCATTTAGGATAATTATTAGTTAGCTTGCATTGTATATTTACCATCTATCTTTCTTGGATTGCCTTCCCCCTCTTCGATTTTAAATGTCTTGATCATACTGTTAGAAATACCTTGCCTAATTAATAGTGACAAGCTGGCAGCCTGTCAAAAGGCCTGATTGGTGCATCATTTGCATCCCTATCTTTGCATGTTGTTTATCTTGAAGTCACAGGTTTTTTATCCTTATCGAACAAATCACTGTGGAAGGTGGGGTTATGTCCAAAGTTAGTTGATGTTTTGTGGTGAAGCCTCCCAAGCTTGTGTGAGGACTCCATTTGTTTAAAAAAAAAAAAAAAAAGGATGATCCTTCCCTACCCATGGCCCAGGACAGCAGGTAACTTAATGCCCGTGGCAAGATTTGAGAGTGACCAGGTTGTGATCTGAAATCCATTTGCAGTCTTGTTGGTAAGAAGAGCATTTGAGAATTGGCTAGGGCTGGGGATCCATGGTCTGGTGATTTGAGACTCCAGCAGTCCAGCTGCTGCTTGTAGACTTTGCCCTTTGGTTTGAGAAGAGAGACCAGACTTTTTTTTTCTGTGCAGCCCAGTTTTCCTGGAAAACATTCATGTGCTATGCCAGGAAAAGAGTTTGTGTATACAAAGGGGACAGGAAGGAGAGGGGACTACTCTAAAACCCACCCATCCACACCTCCTGGTACTGGCAGGGGCTTATCTACTAGGCTTGTTCTCACATTAAACATTCTCATTGTTAATTCTTTGCTGAAGAAAGAACCACAAAACCTGAAGAAATGTTCTTCCCATTTTGTTTTGGTTTTCCAGGTGGTATTTTCAAGTTATATCAACCTCTGCTGTCTCCTCTCCCCTGGGCCTTGACACATAATTACAGCTTAGTTACCTGTGTTTTGAATTATCCCTCCTTGGAAAAGGGTCAGTCACTGAAGGGCTGATGTGTTTCTTGTAGCTTTTTAGAAATGGATATGTTTGATTTCTCTTTTAGATGTAAAAGTCACTTTGGAGTTTTTCCATTAAATCAGAGTTTTCTAGAGTTTTGAGTTTTCTTATGATCATCTTTTGAATCACTTTTAGCTTAAAATGGGTCAGCAAAATAAGACCTGGCACTACAGCCTGTTTTTGTAAATAGGTTTTATTGGCACACAGCCATGCCCATCCCCTTCACAGTAGCTGAGGATGATTTCACATAACAGCAGAGGGAAGTAATTTGGACCCAGACCCAGTGGCCTACAAAGTCAAAAATATTTAGTATTTGGCCCTTTACAGAAAAAGTTTGCTGACTCCAGATTTAAAATGAGCAATAGGAATTAATAATTCTTTAAACCTGAGGACTTTTGGACAGCCAGCAGGATGAAAAACTAAAATATAATATTTGTTCAGCTGAATTTAAAATGCTTTTAAAATTTCTAATTCCTGTTTCAGTACTGTTTTCACAGTTGAGGTGGTTCTGTTGCTTTGTTTTTTTGTTTGTTTGTTAGGTAGGTTTTTTTGTTTTTTTTTATTGAATTTATTGGGATGACATTGGTTAATAAAATTATATAGGTTTCAGGTATCATTTCTCTAATACATCACCTGTATATTGTAGTGTGTGTTTACCACCCCAAATCAAGTCTCCTTTTATCATCATTTATTTCCCCCTTTATCTCCTGCCTCCCCCTTACTCCCTTTTCCCTCTGGTTCTGTTGCTTTGTAATTCAAAGGATAACTTACATGTATTGACTTCATAAAATTAATGCATGTTTTGTAAATGGATGACATTGAACCAGAAGAGTGGCTAGGGAGGTGGTCATCATCATCTTAAAATGTGAAAATGTAGTTCTTATCAAAATACTGACTCAGAGCCAACACTAATGGGATTCTAAAAATAACTGATCTCCAGCTCTTTAGAATTCAGCTCTCTACTTCTGTCACAAGATCATCAAAAGGATGTGGAAGCCTCTGTGTTTAACAGCAGAAGCTTAGGGAGCCTTTGTGACTGTCCTTTAGTGCAGCTTTCTGAACTGTCAGATAGATAGATAGTGGCCAAATGACACAGAATCTTTTTTCTCTGTTGCTTATGACAGCTAAAGAGAAAGTGGAAAGTAAACAGTAACTCAGGTAGCTTTGTTTTTTTAGTTGCCCATTTCAAGGAAGATGGAAGGGCAGACCCTCAAGGAGCAGCCACAATACTTCCTGACAAAAATGAGAGTTTGAGAGCCTTCCAGTTTCATTCTCTTTCCACCACATTTTCTTCTCACATTGCAGAAGCAGAACTGGGAAAAAGTTGTTGGGGCTGCTTTTTTTTCTGAGCAAACTTTTTCCTCTTTCTCTTTGTCGTTTTATTTTGAAAAGTTCAAATTCTCAGATATGTTAGAAGAATGATACTGAGGACACTTGGGTATTCTTTACTTGGCTTCACTGTTAACATCTTTGTCATAAATGCTAGAAGCACTTTACTGTAATTTGCTCCCATCTGATGTTTTTCTAAATACTTCTGCAGATGTCTCCTAGAAATATTGTGTGGTTCCTCTCCATGGCTCCAGTACCTTTGTCACCCCTAAGAAAATGATCATTAATTCAAAAGTCTCCTCCAATATAAATTGTTCTAATTGTCACCAAAATGTCCCTTAAAGCTATTTTTGAGCCACTTCTTCATCCACAAAGATCAAGTATTCCCATTGTCACTATGGAACCGTTAACTTCTTTGTCAGTAAAGGAACGGTCTCTAAACCACCCAGTGGAGTGTGCTTCAAAGAGCTCATGTGCCCCACTTCAAAGGAGAGTGTATCACACACCCAGCTATTGTTACTCAATCATGATTGAGATAAAAGATTTGAAATTAAGCCCTGGCCAGTCTGACTCAGTGGTTAAAACGTCAGCCTGCGGACCAAAGGGTTTCAGATTCAATACCCAGTCAAGGGCACATACCTGAGTTGCAAGTTCCATCCCTGGCACCAGTTGAGGTCATATGGGAGGCATCCAGTCGATGTGTCTCTCTCACATCATCGATGCTTCTCTCTCTCCCCCTCCCTCCCTCCTTCCCTTCTACTCTATCTAAAAATCAGTGGAATACTGTCCTCAGGTGAGGATTAACAAAAAACAAAACAAAACAAAAAGATTTGAAATATTTAAAAAAATTAAGCTGCCAGCCTAGGTATTTTGTGTTTTTGTTTGGTGGTGAGGCCACACAGTGTTTTCTGTAGGTCCCACTGATTGTCCGTGTGTTCACAGCAAACTACAAATTGATGTTAGTGGCTTGCTGGTGGCGTCATAGGTCAAGTTGTCAAATCCTCCTATTGTCCCATGTTAGAGAAAGTTTTCACAGTCTGAACTCCAGTCCTCATGCACAGGAATTGTCTTCACTTCCTTCCATGTCTCCAGGCTTACTCAAGGTCTCCAGGCTTACTCAAGGTGGCACTCTTCATGAAATGTGTGGGTTTACATGCATTTGTTATTTTGTTTGTTTTTTTATCAGTTTTTTTTAAATCCTCACCCAAGGATATATTTATTGATTTTAGAGAGAGGAAGGAGGGGACATCAATGTGAGAGATAAACATCAATCTGTTGCCTCTCGTACACAACCCAACCAGGGATTGAACTTGCAACCTAGGTATGTACCCTGACTGGAAATCGAATCCTAGACCTTTTGGAGTACAGAAGGGCATTCCAGCCTACTGAGCCACACTGGCCAAGGCTACGTGCATTTGTATTTTTAAAGCAAAAACAAAACCTTTTATTAACTACCTTGAATGGAGGTAGTTTTTTTCTTTTTAATGTGAAGAGAATTTGAATCTTCTTCTGTAGGTTGTCTTATTGTTTATGATGATTAAATGTTTCTTTCAGTTAGTTTATCTTCCAAACATTTGTTAACCTGAAGGGGAGTGGCTTTGAGGTTCACTGGCAGGATAATGCCCATTTGGTAAAAAGACAGAAAGCAGTTACAGAAATGCTTATGAGCAGTTCAGTTTTGCTGAAAATGCTGTTTAGTATGTTTAAACCTAATTTTGAAGCTTATTGGTGTAACAAATGTACACTATATGCATGTTTTTGTTTTGTTTGTTATTTTTGTCAGCCACATATATTTTAGGATATATGATCTGGTTTTAATAAACATATTAAAAAACTACAGGTCCTATCTTGGTTCATTAGAACTTACTTGTCCAGCAGAAACACTCAACCCCAAGGAGAAAATGCTGAAATAGCATTTGTATTTCTTTTTTAGTCCTCCGATCTAGACTTCATCTTGAGTCTACCATGCTATGAGGACATTTGAACATTTATGTTCTAAAAGCAGGGATAAAAATATCCAAGTGGTTCTAATTAGAGAGAGAGGCAGTTTCCCACAAAGCTCTGGGTTTAATTTTCTCTTGTCAAGTGTTAAATCTCTAGCCATAAAGTAACAGCCAACTAGTGTGCGAACTGACCTTGGTGCCCCAGACAGGTTGTAGGAACAGCTTGGGAAGGAAGGCCTTTGTGTCTGTTGATCTCCCCTGGATAGAAAGAATTGATTTTGGTGACTTTTTAGATGTACACATGAGCTAACATTGTGTTGCTTTTGCTGTCCTAAGGATGTTTTAAAGTTCTCTTAAATATTTTTTATATGGTTCCTTTCATCCAACAGGCTCACATGTTAAGAAATAGCCCCCACACCCTATCTAAAGAGGTCTCAAACACTTCACACTCAAAAAAACAAAGCAGCGTCTGCAGTGAGGCAGGGTAGGGTAACCCCATGTTAATTTAGTTCACAAAGTAAGAAATGGCTTTGTGTTATGGACAATGCCAAGAGGGAGGTTTGAGGGTCGGAGCCAATCTTTCCCAGGACACGGGTTTTATAACCCATTTCTCAAGAATAGTCTTGGCCACAGAGCTCTCAGCCCACTGAAGCACCCCCCCCCCCCCCCAGAAGACCAAGAACCAGCTCAAAGAATGCCAGGGCTGTTGTGCTTTCGTAAACGAAGACTTCTAGAGCTAGCTTTCTCTTATCCTGGCTGTTTTCCAGTTAAGCCCCTGCCCAAGGTGTTTGGTGTGAGCCTAGGGAAATCCCAGGCCAAGGGGCTCTCTCTTCCAGCTAAATCCCCACCCTCTTACCAATACAGAACCAGCTCTGTGTGTCTCTGCCAGCTCATTTGGTCACCCCACACCTGCACTCACTGAGATGAGAAAGCTCTTTCTTCATCTAAGGTTTAAACAGAACAAGTTGAAAGGTACTGGAAGAACTAGAGTGAGGTGTAGAAGCTTTTGACTCTGGACGCCTCATTCTTGGCTTCCCAACCTTTCCTAGCAGACAGAAATGGTGCTGAGGGCAGTTTCCCTCATCAGTATCTTTGAGATGTGTTATTAACCTGGATTCATCTTTGTTCCCCTCTGATAGAAGGCACCATCCCCATTTTGGTCACCAGGAGTATTTTTTTCTCACTCGTGGCTCATAAGCAGAGTAGCTCCATGCCAGGCCTCCTTGCACTTTTGAAAATGAAGTTTGGGACTTCCTGCACACCTTAAAGCTCCCTGCAAAGTCAAACAGCAACAAAGACATGTTTATTTCACTTTGGGCAGGGCTTTCTTGGCCCATCCTCCTGGGCAGCAACTGCTGAAGGTCAAGCCATTTCTAGCCCTTTGATCCCCACCCCCGCCCCCTGCTCCATGTTGTAGCCTTTATTTACATTGAAGGAAAATTGTCTTTTTTGCTCCCAGTCCTCTGCAGAGCAAAAAGACTTGTCGGATTCGGGAGAGGAGCCTCGGGGGGAGGCTGAGGCTCCCCACCATGGCACAGGTCACCCCGAGTCAGCTGGTGAGCATGCTCTAGAGCCTCCTGCCCCTGCTAGCGCTTCAGCCAGCGCTCCTGAAGCCCAGCTTCCTCCTTTTCCACGAGAACTGGCAGGGGTAAGTCCACCTCCACCCAGCATTCCATGGCCCTGGGGTCCCAACCCAGACTGGCCCCTTTCCCTCTGGGTCCCTCAGTTCCAGGCTCTAGAATATAATCAGCTGATAATAACTGAAAAGATGACCAGGATCTCTTAAGCTCTCTTTAATTCCTGCTGCCAGAAAGTCAGAGAAGATTAGGTCCCCCTTACATGGAGACTTTTCTAGTTGGGGAAATATAGACCCATAGCAAAAAGTTAGGCCTGTTTCCTAAAAGAGATGCAAGGGGTCAAAAGAAGAATTGAGTAGAACCTTCCATATTTGACCCCTTCTCACTCCCATTTTTTCTTCCTCCTCTCTCTGAATCTGGGTCTTCTAGTTCAATGTCTTAGAAACACAAGAGCTTTGGCTTCCTTAATCTGTAGGAAGAGGGGGTATCTAACACAGATTGCTTTGCAAGACTGATTGTGTCTGAACTGTGGTGAGGCTGTGAACTGCTTGTCTTCAATCAAAGCAGGAAGAAGAGAAGACTCTTCTTTGAATCCAGAGGGAACCCCTGAGCCCTTTATCTTTGTATTTGAAGATTATAGGTGGAGAAGATTGTGAACTCTCAAGAACAAGAAATGTCTTGAGAGTTTGGAGTTTGATTAAGTTGGGAAAGGTAAACATCATCATACATTCAGGATTGAAAACTCCATCCTCTAATCCCCAATGTCATGACAGAAAAATGACAACAAAACAAAGGACCGCACTCTGCCATACAGAATGCTGGGCAGCCTTCCAGGGCATCACAACCCCAAATCTTTGGTAGTTCCTATGTCGCATCACCAGTACCCTGTGTTCTTCAGGAAGCCATTAAAATTCATTTAAAGGCACCAAACCGTAGGCTACTCAGGAGGAAGTCATGTTCAGCCAAGGTGATATTGGAGTCATATTTTCACACTTTGGAACAATCAGTGTGTGGTGGATAAAGTAGTTTTTACCATGGGTGGGAAGCTGCAGGGAGTCGGTTATTCATGGTTTAGAAGTGAGTTTGGGGTAGTGAAGTGTACTCAGAAGCTCAGCAAAGATTCCAGGAGGCACTTATTGCCAGTGTTCTCGCATCATAACCCTCATACAAGAGCTGACAGGGAAGTAATTAGGAGGTGGTCACTTTTTTTGTTGGGGGCAGAGCAGCTCCTGGAACCTCCTCCTGAATTGGGTGTTATTAGTTATTGTATCTTCAACCTTTGCACACAGGTCATCTGTTCCTAGTGCCATGAGAACAGATGACCTTCATGTAGACCTGCCTCAGAGGCTCTGAAGCCTTCTGCTGCTGCCTAGTTTGAAAAGCACAGCCTACATAGAGACATCTCTGACTGGGAAGGTTGAGAGTTTTCTTTTTTTTTTTTTTTTGTACATGCCCCTAGCGGGAACCGAACCCGGGACTCTCTGGTCCACAGGCCAACACTCCAACTGCTGAGCCAAACCGGCCAGGGCAGGTTGAGAGTTTTCAACTGAGAGTAGCAGACAGCTAGATCTCAGAGGTTGTGTCATGGCAGCTACTCATCCAGAGGCATGTGGGCTATTTCAGGCCCTTCTCACTTCTAGTGCCTACTTGGTAAGACCGATGGGTCCCTGCCTCCCAAGAGACCTGTGCATGAAGTGCCTTGCGTCGGGTGGCAGGGCCTCATCTTCCACCTGTGGTCAGTCCAAATGTTGATCTCTGAGAAACTCTTCTGTTCTTGTGGACTTTGAGTTGGAGACTCTAGTCCTAAGAAATTCAGTTGTTGCCCAGACTGGCACATGCAAGGTCAAGTGTTCTAGCAGGGAACCTCAGAATGGGTTGTGAAGTCACCATAGGAGGGAGCCAAGACTCAAGGGAATGGTTTATAAATGGAGCAGCACAGCCATGAAGGCCTGCATCTGACATAACACACAGACCCGTTTCAACATTCATAGCTATAAAAATCCTCAGTTCCGTCACAAGTCCCAGCAGCCTCACCATCATATCATTTGGGGACAGCTCTGAGGGCTCACCCAGGGCTCACTCCATGGGGCTGTGAGCAGAAAAAACTCTGGTGGGTTGCTTATGGCCCTTGTCATTTGGCTTTCCCCACTGCAGGGCATGTTCAGGCAAAGTTCACTTTGGTTTTTAGGTCAATTAGGGCATAAATCAAGGCAGAGGAACCTGATTGCAGCTTCTCTGGCTGAGATTTTCCCTTGGTTAACTCATTGCTTTTGCATCAGAACAAATTTGGATCTTGCTCTATACCACACCGGAGTTCAGGAAACCGCCCACATGTTGCTCAGCAGGTATCATCCATCATGTTCAGTCTCTTCTCTGTGCTGTGATCCCTTGGGGGACTATAAAGCACAAGCTCTTTATGGCAAATAGAGGCTCACTGAATTGTTAAAGGGCCCTGATTGTCTTTCAGTCCCATCAGCACTCTAGCCATGGAAGACTCAGTACAAGAAAAAGTCTATATATCAGACTTCTGACTCTCACCAGGCAGTTTGAAGAAGACCAAACCACATTTCATATTCAGTTCTCTAATCCGGAAGAAGCGAGCAGCTTTGTGCTTACCCCGATCCTGGCTGAAGTCTGCTGGACTGAAGCTCCAAGCCAAGGCGCTGATGAGTTTAAACTATGTTTATGAGACCCACCAGGAAGCTTAGAAAGATTCTGGAATGAGCCCCTTGGCTGGACGGCTTTCCTCATCTTCCATCTTCTGAACAGGATTTGACTTTTGTTCCACCCCTGCCCTATTTCATGTCTTTGGAGGCCACTCTGTTTTTCCTTTTTCAGTGTGCCTTTTTAGTAAGAATTTCTGAGCAGGTTGCCTCAGTCACAAAATAAACAGCAATTGAACTGGCCTGTAGTTGATTTGAAGACAAGGAGGATACAAACAGCAGGCCCTACTCTTTTTTTTTTTAATCCTCACCTAATCAATGCTTTATTGATTTTTTTTTTTTTTTTTTTTTTTTGAGAGAGAGAAACATCAGTCCTATACCCACCCTGACTGGGAATCAAACCGCAACCTTTTGGTATACAGGACAACACTCCAAACAACTGGGCCACACGGCCAGGGCAGCAGGCCCTGCTCTTAATTGATTTTTCATCCCATAGCCAACTAGACTTTCTAACTGGTCACTCCAGACCAGAGTTACTGAGGCCTAGGCAGGCCAGATGGTATCTGGTGTTTTCTGGAAGGAATTTATCTGACTTGGTCTTGCGTTCTGGTCTTTTCTGGGAGGTCGGGAAAGAAGTCTTTTTATTCTGCTTACTTTCTGTGTGCCTGTGTCTGTCAGATTCTGAGACACAGTCTCTAGTTCCATCCCCTTCCCTGGATTGGCACCTTTTGTCTCCCTCAAGGCCACACCAGGCAGCCTTATAAGAGCCATGGTTTTTTGGAGGAGGGTGATACTTAATGAATGTAATGATTGTAATTTTTACTATTTCATCCTTTGTACAAAGAACAGAAGCTTTCCATACCTGCATTCCCATCCTGGGTTAGATGTTATCCCCGATTTTGTACTTGGTGACAGGGACTTACACGCCTCCCAGAATGAGCTGCTTCCCTGGAGGACCCAGTGGCTTCTGAGGGGAGAGGACTGCCGCTACCTGTCCCTGCCAGCTGGCAGGGCTTCCAGTGCCACCTTGAAGCACTCGGTGAGCAGCTCCTTCGATTCTTCTGCAGGCTGGCCTGCTTACCAGCCCACAGCCCCTCTGTCGTATCCGAGGACTTTTCCACCCTTGTGAGCCTGCTTAATTCACGCATACTGTCCTGAAGCCACAGAAATCAGTTGGAGGGTTATCTTTGTTCTACTTTCTCTTCAGCTGCCTTATGTCAGTGTTAGATGGGGTTTATTTTCATCATGGTGTCCCAATGGGTGCTGACCCCAGCATCCCCCAGGTGTCATCCTTGCAGAGGTGGATTCTAGTGTGGGGAGAGGCAGAGTAGGAAATGGGGCTTCTACACCCTACTTCTGTTCTCACTCCTCCCCAAGAAGCACAGATCCTGAAAATCTGCTCTAGAACCCTCCTCACATAGTGGAGTCTCAATAGTGGTGGTTCCTGAACTTGGGGCTGCAGACTTCTCGGGTCCAAGGAGCTGGGAGTCCCAGGCATTGCTTTCTATGACCCCTGAGTAGCCGCTCCCTTGGATGGGTGAGGGGTTGTCCCCAGACTGCTCTGACATGGAAAAGGTCCTGACCACCAGGCTACCATCCAAGGGAAATGTTGGTGGAGCTGGCATTGGCTTTGTGGTGGGGGGCGGGGGTTGATGGGGAGTTGCTGTACCCTATACCTTTTGCCACCATACAGCAAGCTCAGCCCTTCTCCAGCAGTGTGTAGGGGCAAGTTTCTCCTTACATAGACAGCTATGGAGGATTTCTAGAAGAGTCAGCATATTCAAAGGCATGCAGAAATGACTTAACCTTACATTCTGTCTTCCTGCTTCCTTGCATTAGTTTCTTTTGAGAAGAGTTGCCAACATCAGTTTCCTCATTGCTTCTCAGCCATTTCAGACCCCACAGGAGGTTTCAGCAGTTTTTGGAAGGTTCTCCTCGTGGGGGAGTCTTCCTGTGTTTTCCTTCCCAGGCCTTGGCCTCCCATCTTTTCCAGGACCAGGAGACCCACCACATGCCTGTGAGATGGTTCTTCAAGAGACTTGGGACACAGATTTGAGGGTCTCTTGGAATCGGGGATCTAGGACTGAATCTTGTCTGGCCAGGCGTCTTTTCTTCTCAGGTTACCTAAGGGGCCACAGTGGAGGATACGAGCTCCATTCATGCATTAAATACTTGTTGAGAGTTTTATACACCATGTCCTGGGTGTTGCATGTATGAGCTATGAGCATAGCAAACAAGGTAGGGCCTCAACTTAGGTAGAGACAGGACACATTAGATCATTTCCAGCTGTAATACACAAAACAGGGTAGAGGCCCAAAAGAGGGTAGGGTGGAGAGGAGCTGCCTCTGCTTTCTGGGCAGTGAGATAGGCATGAGCATGGGTTCCCCCTGGAGGTGGTTAGGAAAGGCCTGGGAGAGGCCACAGTGAGTGGACCTGCAGGAAAACATCCTAGGCCTTAGGAGTAGCGCGCCCCAAAGGAACAATGAGGTAGGAACACTGCTGACATGCTCAGAAAACAGCAAGAAGACAGGCTGGAGTATGATGGCAAGCAGGGGTGCTGCAGGATGGACCAAGGGTCCTGGTCAGCAGTCCTGGACCCTGAAAGGTGGGGCTGAATCCTCAGAGGCCCCAGTTCTTGGTCTGGGGAGAAGCTCTTAGCACCATTCAAATTCTTAAGGAGACCTAGATGCCTGAGGTTTTGGGGTATCTTTGGCAGAGGTAAGAAATGTAGGTGTCATTAAAAGAGCCCCAATATACATGAAATAAAAACTGGTAGAACTGAAGGGAGAAATAGACAATTCAGTCGTAACAATTGGAGACCTCAGTACTGCACTTTCAGTTATCAGTAGAGTATCCAGACAGATGTATGAAGACATCGAGGACTTGAACAGCACAGAACCCAGCAGAGTACACATTCCCCTCTTGTGTAAGGAATGTTCTCCAGGGTAGACCACTTGGCTTGGCCACAAAACCAGTCTCAGTAAATTTGAAAGGATTAAAACCATACAGTCTTCTCCAGCCACAGTGGAATGAGATTACTAATCCTTAGCAGAAGGAGCCCTGGAAGATTCATGGTGGAAACTAATGTACATGGCCAGTGGGCAAAGGAACGTTAGGTGTGGAGGCCTCTTGAGATTGAGGTGCTAGAGGAATTTCCTCTGCAACAACTGGGTTGCTGGCCGTTGCCCTGTGCATAACCCAGGAACACAGGCTTCACTGGTTCTCCCTAGCCTTTCACTGAGCAAATGGTGAGCAAGCTCTTGCTGTGTGGTGCTGAGGGCCAGTCCTCTCCTGGAACTCTGAGTCTAGCAGGGGACCCTGACACAGATCACACAATCAAAATAAGAGGGCACAGTGAGGCCAGAGGACCAAGAGGTTTGTTCTCACATAGGAAGTTAAGAAAGAGACCTGAGGGAAAGGAGGATATCAGTGGATGAGGGGCAGTGCCTGCAGAGGCCATAGAGGGGGGCCATTTCCAGGTCCCAAAAGTTAATCCAAGAAGTGGCAGATACCACAGGATCTGCAGAGCTACGGAACTTGAAAATAGGCGTGGGAGTGGGCTGGGTCGGCTGTGAAGGAATGGGAGAGAGGTACCTGGAGCCTGCACCTCAATGATGTCACCTGAGGAAGGGGATAGTTGGAGAGGAGGATTGGTGTGCCGATAGCACTGCTCTTTATGATCAGATGTCACCCTAGGCCCTGGCCTCTGCTGAATCATAGCCCTATGGGAGTGCATCTCAGCACCCCCTGGCCTGGGCTCAGGACCCTCTTCTTAACCCTCACCCAAGGGTCCCCAAACCTGGCCCTTCACCTCCCGGCTGCCCCCAGGACATTATTTCACATCCCAACTCTCCTGTTCACACCTGTCCCTGAGCTCTCAAGCCCGGCCCAAGGGGGTAACATCCAGGAGAAGTGAACTTGTAGAGACAGTGTAGCTACCACCAGATGTGAGCTATAAACAGTCATAAGAAGGTCGGGCACTGGACTGAGCCGGCACCACCTGCTTATCCCATTGACCTCTTGTCACTTCCCTGTGGGGGAGGCACCAGAACCCAGTTTTCCAAGTGATATAATTTACCCAAGGTTTCCCATTTAGGCAATGGCAGAGCTGGGAGAATGACTAGATCTATAGGCCTTTGAGAGGGGCTTGAGCAGCCTCACACTCTACTCCCATGCTCTCTTTGGGCCCAGCGATGTGTTTATAGCTGCCCCAAGGGCCATTGAATAGCCCCTGTTAAAAGGGTTTGTGTTTCCCTAGCACTTGGATGGTCTCCTCTGAGCCTTCAGTCCCCCGAGACACACCTGGGGACAGTCATATCCTCTCCCCTTCACAGACACTTCCAGGGAGCTCTTAGGACACAGATTTGGAGCAAGAAGCCCAGGTTGGTTTTTATGACTCAAACCCGAGTCATTGGCTCACACAGGAGGGAGGGTCCAGGTTGGGATTCTTTTCTTACTGTCTGGGCACCATTCTTCAGGATGTGTCTGTCCACACACACTCACCCACAAGCTAAGATGGTGTTTACATTTTTAAAAGATTGTAAAAATAGAATATATGATGTGGGGCTCACAGAGCTGGAAATACTTTCTGGCTCTTTAAGAGAAAAGTGTTGCCTGGCCTTTAGGAGGTCCTCACTAGTGTAGAGTCTAAGATTCCAGCTTCAGGAGAGAGGGTGTCGAGTCACCAGCAAGAGTCTAGTTGCCCAGGCCTTAGGAGGATCCCTCAGATCCCTAGTCTAGAGTTTGGTTTAGTGCAGTTACTGCCGCCACACATGCTCTGCTGTGGGAAGAGCACTGTGCATACACCAACTCATTTCATCCCTCCGCTCCTCCGGGCAGGTGGTCGTCATTTGGCTAGCCTTGAGCCTTAGACTCCTAGAGGCTTTTCTGAAACTAAGAAAACTGGCTCCTCTGCTGGCTTTTAAGTGCCCAAGTGGAATGATGTTCCCTCCACATTTGTTATTGGCTGCTTAGTTCTCAAGAAGCTCAAATCCCTAAGAAAGAATACATGGGAGGGATTGTGTTAGTTATCCTGGGTTGGGAGGGGACTCATTTCAGACCTCTTAATTGCCAGATGTTCATATTCTAAAACTAAAGACTGTTAAGAGGGAGGTTCTTCAGCCACCTTCTCAGCTTGTGTGTGTTTGGGTGGGTTCTGTAGTCTGCTGAATTGTTCTGTTCTGATCACTTGGCAGCAGACTTTAATCCAAGGCACACAAAGTTTTGAGTTGCTTTGGAAACAATAGCCTACCTTGAAAGAGGGTTCCATACCATGGAATGTGCCAGGGCAAGGAATGGAAACTGTCACAATCCGGTATAAGGTGACCATTTTAAAAGTAAACAGTCCAACTGCCCTTCAGAGTGGAGAACGGGTCACTTTCCAGCTCTTGGCAAAATGAGTTTTGGCCAGATAACTGTTTGAATTTGGGGATGACACACCAGTTAGCTACAGCTAACCTGTGGAGAAACAAACTGATCCTTGTGCTGTAAGTGCACTCTCAGTCATTAAGAGGATTCTTTGGCATGTGGCCTGGGCAGCCAGATGCAGAAGGTTCACAGGGGAGTTCTGAGCATGAGGTTGAAAATTCCTCCGTGACTCCGGTGGCTGGGCTCAGGGAATTGGCCCTCAGTATTGTATCTCAGGATCTGTTCATTACGGAGCTCATGAGCTGTTAGCTAAAAGGGCAGCTTGGCCCTTTCTTCTACCCTGACATGTACTCTCGTTTCAGAGGTCAGCTGGCGGCTCCAGCCCTGAAGGTGGAGAAGGTGAGAAAACCTCTAAAACATTCACCATCTTTGATTATAAAGGTAGAAGGAGCCTGATTTTCTTCTCCTTCTTCTCTTATTATTTTCTGTAGATTCTGACCGAGAAGATGGAAATTACTGTCCTCCTGTCAAGCGAGAAAGGACGTCCTCTTTAACCCAGTTCCCACCTTCACAGTCAGGTAACAGCTACAGACTTATTAAACAATAAAAGCGTCCATGTTTATAAGCCCACTGTTCCCTTTCAACATTTCCTGCTCATTGTCTGTCTCCTGCCCAGATCCATTAGAATCAGCCTGAGGCTTGGTCTCTGTCACGATAAGATTAGAGCTTGCCCGAGGTGTGACACCAGGTACCCTAGTCTGGGATCAGTGATACTTATGGAGGGGTGTGACTTAGTGGACTAATAAGGAAGATGCATCAGAAAAATAATGGTAAAGGAACTGTCTGAGCCCTGTTGGGGCCTCTGACCATTAATCACATATCTGCCTTCCAAAGGCTGCAGAAGAGAGGGCTTGGTGGAGCCTTGAGGGGCGGGCCAGCTTGGGCACTGTGGAAGTATCTGGACTGGACATGATCTGAGCACCTGCACAGAGGCCAAAAGATCAGCCAGGGCTTGTATGAAGTCTGGTGCAGGAAAGAGGCAGATTCCAGGATAGAGAGAGACACTGGAGCTACTTAGTAGGTGCTCCTTGAATCTGGGGGCACCTCTGCAGATTGGAGGGTCAATGCCTCCAGAGAGCTGCCCTCTCTCCTCCCCACCTAATCTACACTTTGTTTACTCTGGCATTGTCCTGTGTTCTCTGTCTTAGTCTCTGTAACCATGACTTAGAGATACATGTGTATTGAGAGAGGATCTCCAGTTACCTAAGTTGAAGTTCATTCTTGCGAAGTTCATATAAAACATTTACAACTGTAAACCTTAAGGATATCACTTTAAGGGGAAAAAAGACACTCGTAGAAGGTTTGTTTCTGCTTACACAAGTAATGCAGACTTTACAGGAATAGTCAGTGCAGAAAGTGTCCTCTCAAGGTTGTCTGTAGAACACACTTGATTTCCTACCTATTTCTCTTATTGCTTTTTTTTAACATTGCCACGTCCTTTTTCATGACTACATAAGACTACCCCTGAATGGATGCACTGTCAGTTGCCAATCAGGCATTAAGGAACTGTCCAGACTGTTTGCAGTCTAGGCTGCAGTGGACATCCCTTTTTTTTTTTTTTAATATTTTATTTATTTTTTATCCTCACTGAGGACATTTTTGCATTTATCTTCAAATAGAGTGGGAGGGAGAGGGGGAGGGGGAGAGAGAGAGAGAGAGAGAAACATCGAATGGTTACCACCCACATGACCCTAGCCGGGCCCAGGGACAAACTGCAACCGAGGTATGTGCCCTTAGCACAGTGGTTCTCAACCTTCCTAATTCCATGACCCTTTAATACAGTTTCTCATGTTGTTGTGACCCCCCAACCATAATTATTTTCATTACTACTTCATAACTGTAATTTTGCTACTGTTAGGTCTTAGGTGACCCCTTGTGAAAGGGTTGTTCGACCCCCAAAAGGATTGCAACCCACAGGTTGAGAACCACTGCAGCAGGAACTGAACCCGGGACTCCCTGGTCCATGGGCTGATGCTCTAACCGTTGAGCCAAACCGGCCAGGGCTGGACATCCTTTTTTAAGGGTCTTTGCCCGCTTGTTGCATAGGTGTTTCTAAGCAATGAGGAAGTGTCTGCTTCCTGGCTATGATTGTGTTTCTTCCGTTTACTGTCTACTGCTGAACCATGTTTTCTGATCAGGAAGATGTAACAAAGAAGGTACAAGATGATTTGTTCTATGGCATTAGGCTGAAGAGGCAAAGGACCACCAAAAGTTTTCTCTCTGGTGCATTGGTCTAGGAGATAATCACCTCCCAGTCCTCGGGGGAAATGGGAAGATGAGCAGTGCCAGTAATAGCCTAAACAGGTGGAGGGGTGCGGCCAGCTTTTGAGCCCTGACCAGTCACAAAGAACGGGGGCTGAGGTTCGGCCCCAGGTATGACTAGGAACATCTGGTGTGTTCCATTTCCCTCCTGGCTGCCCTCATAGGGGACCAGGGTGCCAAGAAAAAGCCAGAAGCACGAGGACAAGAGAGGTTGCCACAATAGATCTGAGTCTACTGGTAGACATCTGACAGAGGCCATTAGGCTGGAGACTTCCCCTTTTTTGCTTTAGAGAGAGTCCAGAGTATCTAAAGGCCTTATTCATAATGCTGACCCCCACCTCCCACACCACAATAGGGCTTGGAGATCAACCCCTCAGGTTGGAGAGGTGATCTGGGGCATGTCTGCCCTGCCTACTCACTCTGTTTTTCCTCTTGTTCCCTCCCCTGCCTGCACCTCCTTGCTGACAGTATCAAAAAACAATGTTTTTATGCCATCAACCTTCTGCGAGCCATCTGCAGGCAATTCTGACTCAGAACCAGGTGAGCCCTCATGTCCCTTTGCCTTTCACAGCCAGTCATGGGGGGATTTTCCTGGGATGAAAAGCAATTGATATTGTAAAATAACATCTTAATAGGAATGGGCAATTTGAAATCAGTGTTCTTTTTCAGTTCCTAAATGTTTTCCCAACTCTTCAGTTTGTACATTTGGAATCCAGTGTGGAAGGTTTCATAAGCCCTTATTTCTGTTAGTAAGACCTGTTTACAAGGAGTTTTTTAAATATGTTTTTATTGATTTTAGAGAGGAAGGGAATGGAGAGAGAGAGAGAGAAAGGAAGGGAAACATCGATGTAAGAGAGAAACATTGATCGGCTGCCTCCTGTATGCCCCCCACTGGGGATTGAGCCCGAAACCCAGATACATGCCCTGTCGAGGCATCCAACTGATGATCTTTTTGGTTCATGGGACGACACTCAACCAACTGAGCCACTCCAGCCAGGCTACAAGGATTTCTACATCCTTTTTGGAAATAAAAAGAAAGAAGTGTATTACTCATGTTTCAAAATTTTATACAAGTAATGCATTCATATCATTTTTTTAAAGGCAAATTAGAAATATATAGACTTAAAAAAAAAAAAAAGAAAAAGAAATATATAGACTTAAAGAATTAACCTGCTTCTTTCCCACTCACTACCATCCCAGAGGTAACTAATGTGAAATGTAATTTCCCAGACCCCTTTTCTGTGTATTAAATTCTCACATTAATTAGTATTGCTTAGATGTGTTCAGGTAAATACATATATTTAATCATGGCTTAACTGTAAGGAAAACAGCTTTCTCCCCTCTGAAGAACATGGAGCCTGCCTTTTTTGGTCTTTCACAGGAGAACCAACTCCAGTTAATTCCTGAAAATTTCTCCTCATAAAAGATTTAATGAGCAATTTTAACCACCCGAATTCTGTAACCCAACCTGCCTTACATAAATTCATTGCCGACTTCAAAAGCATTACGAGATAATTCATACTCTGGCATGAGAGCTATGTCAAGTAAAGAGGCGAGTTTTTATAACTTTGAGGATTGATTTGATGGCACTATTTCAAACAGTTGAATTTGTTCTGAGTCTAAAAGCAAAGTTTGGAGCTGACCCCCTTCACGGTTCTGAAAAGAAGCTTGGTTTTTAAAGGTTTTTAGTTGTACCTGGGGCACTGGCTTAGCAAGTATTCTCAGCTGTGGGGGACGTGTTCGCCTTTGTGAGCCTGTTTTGGTCTAGGGATCAGTAGCTGAAGACACACATCTTGATCTCTTTATGCTGTGGAGCTTTATTATGAATCTCACAATCACCTCTGAGGTCTGTGAGTGATAGCCTCACTCCCCTCTCTGCCCCCAGAACCTTTATCCAGCAGTATTGAGAGCAGGGCAGCCCTGAGAAAGGGGGCAGCTTAGTCTGCCTTCAGAGTATCTGATACAGCCCTGGTTCCTGGTACCTGATATGGCATACCAGTCATACTAAACTTGCACATAAGCTCTGCAAAGTGAGCCTCATATCTTTGCCAGCCTGCCTTTTACTTTTTAGCTTTAATTATGAGGAAGAAATCTGTGACTCACCCTGGCTGCTTTGGCTCAGCGGTTAGAGCATCGACCTGTGAACCAAGGGTCACAGGTTCAACTCCCAGTCAAGGGCATGTGCCTGGGTTGCAAGTTCAATCCCTGGCCCTGCTCAGGGTCATAGGAAGCAGCCAATCAGTGTGTCTCTTTCACATCAATGTTTTTCTCTCCCTCACTTCCACTCTATCTAAAAGTCAGTGGAAAGTTTCTTCGGATGAGGATTAACAAAAAACCTATAATTTATGGAAAATTTTTATAAAACACTTCTCTATCCCTTTACCTAGGCTACATGCATTCTACAGAGCAAAGACATCAGATTCCAGTCATTTGTCTCTCTTTCCTTCTGGAACAGTTCCTCATTCTTTCTTTTTGTGACCTTGAAGATTACAGGCCAGCCCTGGCCGGTTCAGCGGTTGGAGCATCGGGTCTACGGACCAAAGAGTCACAGGTTCAATCCTGGTCAAGGGCATGTACCTCGGTCAAGGGCATGTACCTCCGTTACTATTCGATTCCCTGCCCTGGTTGGGGTCATGAGGGAAGCAACCAATCGTTTTGTCTCACATCGATGTTTCTCTTTCTCTCCTCCCCCCCTTTCCTCCCAACCTCCCTCCTACTCTATTTGAAAATCAATGGAAGGAATCCTTGGGTAAGGATTAAAAAAAAGATTACAGGCCAGTTATTTTGAAGAAGTCCTTCAGTTGGGGTGTGTCTGTTGTTTCCTGGTGCCTCCACCCCGGTTGTGTATTTGGGGCTGGAATACTACTGAAGTGTAGCCATGCTCTTCCCAGTGCACCCAGTGGTGGCATACGATGTGTGCTCATCCTGGTCCTGGTGGGGTAGACTTTGATCACTTGACTAGGGTGGAATCTGCCCAGTTTCTCTGCTGTAAAATTATTTCTTCCCCCTTTGTCATTACTATTTTCTGGAGAAATACTTTGAGACACAAGGAAATCTCTCATGTTTTCCTCCTGTGTTAGCATCCATTGATGTTTTCTTGCTTGAATTATTACTCTGATGATGGCCAAATGGAGATTTTTGCCCCATTATTGCCCCAACATTTATTCATTGGTATTCTACTGTAAGGAACAGCTTTCTTTTCCCCACTTAGTCATTTCTGTTGATAAGGATTTACAGATTCCTGTTTTAGGCAGTAGGTTATAATCTGTTAGTATTTATTTTAATATTCAGATTTTATTTTGATTATTGACTTAATCATTCCAGATTTGACCAATGGGCCCCATCAGGCAGGTTCCTGTGTCTTTTTACCAGGTTCCTGTCATTCTTTTAGGTACTTTCTTTACTTTCTGCCATAATAAGAGGTTCCAGGGTCATCATCTTTCCCCTTTTCTCACAGGAGTCCTGGTTCTCAGTGGAGCATGGTCTTGAGAAACCAAGATCTGGGTGCTCCATGTGTTCACCACCATTTGGGCTGCCACTGCTCCCAGAACCTCTCAGTGCCCAGAGCTGGGAACACGTAAACACAGCTAGAAACATATACACTTACAACTATGTGCATACATATGCTTAGATTTACACATATTTCTATGTCTCTGTCTATCTGCATGTATGGATAACCCCAGGTTCATGTGGATGTTTTCAGTTCAGTGCCAACATGGTTCATCTTAGCCTCCCCCCTCTGTATTTCTACCTCTCTTTTCTAACTGTAAGAAACCTGACTCACTCTGTCCTCAGTGCATTTACTCATTGCTCCATCCCCCGTATGTGGTCAAGCACTCTTCCTACCCTGCACCAGCACCACCCTTACTCCAGCTCTTTAGGCTGCCTTCTCTTGGATTATTTTCAACTTCTGATATATATCAGGTTGCATTCTGATATATTTTTCTGTTAAGTGTAGTTCCATGGGTGGTGAGCATTGCTCCTTCAGAAATCACTCAGAATCTTCCTGAGGTGGGGCAGGATGCACTCTCAAAGGAGTCAGCTTGCTTCAGACATGATTTGAAAGAGGAGAGAGGCTGCCCCAGAGGGAGAAACTTCTTCCCCCAGTGAGCTCACAGAAGGGCATGCATGTGCCCGTAAGATGACACCAGAGCAGCCACCTACGTGTGGTGAAACTCCAACCTTCAAGCAGTGCCTCTTTGTTATACCCTGACCATCTTGCCAGAAAAGTGAGTTTCTGGAGGTCATGAGAAGAGATCACACTTGTTTTAGTAAAGATGGGGCCTGCAACAGGGTCCTCCAGGGTTTGACTGCCTTGCAAGCACATTTCCCTGCTGCTTTGAGCCTCTCTGCCCTGAGTCCCAGTTGCCATTAGAAGTGTTGTACACCTTGTCTGTCTGTCCATCGGTTCACTGCAGCATTCAGCGTAGATTTTCTGTGCATCTTCAGAGTTGACCTGGCACCAGGTGCAGAGTTAGTGGATGTTCACTGGCAGTGATTTATGGGCCCACTACCCACACTGATCAGTCTAGGTCAGCCCCACAGGTCAGTGGCTAGCATTGGCTCTGCACAGAGCACAGTGGTGCACATCAACCTGTAGCCACAATGTGAGCATTGCAGAGCCAGCTCCAAGGGCTTTAAAAAATTATCTAAATTGTGAATTTTATCTCAGTTGTTTAGTTTTTAAACTGCCAATCATCTTCTGAATAACCCTGAGCTTTGGAAATGTAATTCAGTATTTTCCTTCTAAACAGGAACATCTGGCAGCATGTCTTCCCCTGCATCCTGTTTTGTCTGATTCTCCTGAGTGTGGTTTTTATGACCCAGAGCTCTCTTATAGGAGAGACACCAGCCCACTAACACAGTCTTAGAAGCTGGCAGGCTCCACTCCTTTTCACTAACTAGCAATGAGAGTTTCTGTAATCCTGTTTTGCCTAAGGAGAGCAGTTTGGCTCACCACCATGTTAACAGTAGGAAGAGGGCCCTTCTGTTTCATTCAGAATTCTGGTTTGATTTGTTTCTTACCTGAAAGCTTGGACTGACAAAGCATTTATGTTGTCATTTTAGGGTACAATTGATTGGCTTTTAGCATATCCACAAAGCTGTGCAATTATCACCATAATTAATTTTAGAACATTTTAATCACCCCCCAAAAGAAACCCCATATTCTTTAGCAATTACTCCTTATTCTGTGTTTCTCAGCCCCTGGCAACCACAAATCCACTTTTTGTCTCTGGATTTATCTGTTCTGGACATTTCATATAAATGAAATCACATATAATAGGAACTTTTGAGGTATCTTTCCCTTTAAGTCTTTACTTTCAACAACATTTTATAATTTTTATTTGTTAAATTTACTCCCAAGTATGTTACTCTCTTTTGTGCCATTGTAAATAGAATTGTTTTCTTGACTTTATTTTTGGTTTGTTTATTGCCAGTGTATAGAAGCGCACAACTGTATTTTTATAATGATCTTGTTCCCTGCAACCTGACAGGGTTTTTTCCGATGGGTTGGACCTTAGCACAAAAGCAAGAATGCCTCTGGTGGCCCAGAATGCTGCTGTCCCTCTGCTTCCCCAGCCACAGCCTGGCCTGTTAGAGTCACAAAGCTTTTTATGTTGATCCTTCCCGCCAAGGATGGCATTAGACTCTCTCTTCCATCCTTCTGAGATGGGCAGAGTCACCAAGATGCATGGATTAAGTGATCTTTGGACACGTGGCTGAACAGAAACCAGGCTTTGAACATCCCAGGAGTCCCTGTATTTTCAGCCCAAACTTGATTCCTGGGGGAGGCCCCGCCTCCTCGCTTGTGGCCAGGACAAACAGCCCTGCTTCCTTCTTCCGGGCCTTACAGTGCTCTCATTAAGCGATGAGACAAAGCTTTCCAGGCATATCTGGAAAGAGAACAAGCCCACTGTCTGCTACCTTTGATTTCTTGCCACAGAAAACATGCCTCATTTTCCAGAGTCATCTGCTGGTAGTACAGAGACCTCTCCTGACAAGTCCTTTAGGAAAGGGAGATACATCCCTAGAGACTTTTATTCAGTGGTCCTCTGACATTCTCCAGGGCCTGCAGGTACAGCATGGTATCCAAGGTCCTGGCAGCTGCTAGGTGAGGTGGTCCATGGGTTGACCAGCCTTGCACTCACCCTTCAAATGGAAGGGCTCCTTAGTGGAGTGGTTGCCCTCACTTCTGTCTTGCACCTTGACATCCCCTGGTTTTCCACTGTCAGCACTTTGCCCCAGAGCTGTACTTCCTGCTACCCCTGCCTTCTCGCCTGGGCTGCCTTACAGCCTTAGTGATTGAACAGGATGTCTGTATTTCTGTTTCAGTTTGGAACCAGGCCCATGACCACTGAGGCCCAGACAACAGTCCTCTCCTGCCCCTGCTCCCACCCAATATCAACCCCCCCCCCCCCCCGGCAGGTGTTCTTTTATCTTTTGTCTTATGCTTGTAGAGGAAAAGAGCAGTGGGTTCCGGTTGAAGCCACCAACACTGATCCATGGCCAGGCACCCAGCGCAGGTAGGTGCCTACTTTGGAGGAGAGTCAAGTGGCTTTCTCATACCCTTCCAGGCCTCTGTGCAGTGTCTGTTTGCACAGCTGCCAAAAGCAGCCCCACCAGTGTGCTCTGGGCTGTTTCCTGACACATGAGCTCTGGAAAGCTACTTTAAAGAGCATGTTAGACCAGGGAGCTTCTCACACCTGTAAGCCCTCTGCTGCCCTGAAGTGGAGGTGGCAAGGGAACAGGCTTGCCTTGGTGTGGGACTTTGGGCTCTGTGCCCAGCGATAGCTCAGTTGGTTCTAGCTGTCTCTCCAGAGCATTCTAGCCCTAGCATGCCATAGATTAATCCTGACTGGCAGAGTGCCTCAATCCAGTGGCATACTGCTGGAGAATGGGGCCAAGTGGTGGGCGCCATCCACATCTGTCAGGTCCCACAGGAGCCCAGGCAGGGCCAGAAACGTTCTTGTGGTCCTTGCCCAAGTTGTATTTGATAGAAGTGTTTTCTCAATGTGGCATTTTTAAAAAGCAGGTGCAAAGGTGTCCTTTCCTGTGACCCCAAGCAGCATCCTAAACTCGGGGTCGCCTATGGCTTCGCCGCTTTCCCCTCACATCTGTGCTTGACCCTTGTAAACAGCTGACCTTAGGCTTCCCTGAAGCATTAGCATATTCACTGTATAAATTCACAGACATGATCAGTTACATGGGGATATTTAATCACATATAAAACTAGCAATAGCCAGACTCTGTATATCTAGTTGTAAAGAAAAAGCTTGTTTTATATTTTTTAGAAAAAACAAACGTGCTTTCCTACAGAGTCTAGCCTGTGAGGGACATGAAATGGATTGCTGGGTTTGATTTGTAAAGTACCTGAGAGCCTGAGCTGTTGCGTTTCTGCCCATGAGGTCCAAGGGCGCTGGGCAAACCGACCTCTGTTCCCAGGTCTGCCAAGCCAGAAGCCCAAGGAGCAGCAGCGGAGCGTACTTCGCCCAGCAGTGTTACAAGCCCCACAGCCAAAGGCACTCTCACAGGCCGGTAAGAAACACAGCCCTGGTGCCCAGGCTCACATGGTAGGGTAGAGCATTTCAGAAGTTGCTCCGGGGACAGCCATGTCTCAACAAAGGTGTCGTTGGTCATGTCTGTCAAATGCACTTGGAAACAAAAAAAATAAAGAGAATGCTGGGAAAACAACCCTTTATATTTCTGGTGAGCCTAGCCTGACTGCTGGTGCAAATGTGCCTTGTGCACGCACTGACCTCATAAACACTGTCTCCATTCCCTGAGCAGTTCGGATCCATCCCTACATGTCTGCAGGCAGAACTCAGCCCTGCAGTCTTAGAAACTCTAAGGGTTACTTTCACGTTTGTTTTCATTTTATTTGCCAACCTTGAGACATGACTCTGAAACCACATTTCCATTACATCTGCATAGGCAGTGGTTTTCAGCTAATCCTTAATTTTCTTCAAGTGAATGGGCTCTTGTCTTCCTCTTGATCTTTCCCTGTAATTCAAGAACTTTTCATCAGAAGCAACGTAACATCCCACATGAGGGAAATAGTTAATATTTCTGAAGTGTTTTTAATTACATGGGGAAATTTTTTATGTAATGCTCAACAGTTAAAGCCAGATTTACAGATGTGTGTGTCATGTAATCTCAACTATTTAAAGGGAAAAAATACATAGAATAAAGATGGTATTTATAAAACTCGTTTTAAAAACTTATAATTGTTCCCCCAATATTTGTTCTTTCAATTTAAGAATTTGTTGCTTTTAGTAGTGATGCCAGGCCTCTTCTTTAAAAAGGAGAACTTATATACTGTTGGTCCAAATGGTGGCAGAAGGAAGCACTTGAGGTGGTCTAGCACTAACTCCACGATTCTCCCTCTTTCCATTTGTCTCCACAGTCCTGAGCAGTGGTACCAATGGGCTCAGTGTCCCAGCAGACTGCACAGGAACAGCGACATCGACATCACCCAACAACCCCACACGGAGAAGTCCACCTGACGAGGCTCCTGCACCTGAGGTCCGTCTGTGCCCGGACAGGGAGCACACCTCACAGGAGACTTCTTGGGCTTCGCTGAGCACGTAGACTGTTACCTGCTCTGAGCAGTGTCAGTGTTCTGTGTTCAGACTTTCTGGATTTGCTCAGCAGATTACTTCAGAACCACAGCGGACAAATGCCAAGAGTGGGGAGGGGTATCTCCATGGTTCTGAGAGAAAGGTGCCATGAGCAGAGTTCTGCCATAGAGTCCTACATTGCCTGAGTCTAGCATATCATTTCCACATGTCCCGAGGCAGTGTTCCTGGGACTGACTTTTGAGCCATGGGGAGCCGCTGGAACCAGAGGGGATGGCTTTCACTAATGAAGTCCTTACACCATTTTATGTGGATAAATGTCTTCCCTCCCTGTTTCCACACCCCAGCAACTCGGGGGATTCATACACGTGTGCCCTTTCCAGTGCCTGGGGAGTCAGCTCAGAAATAGTTTGTTTTAAAAAAAACAGTCCTTTGGGGTTCTGGAATTATATAGGCCAGGAGCATCTGTTTTCCAGCAGTGCTGCAGAGCCACTGGGAAATGGGCATTTTGTGAAGCACCTGCTCTTGGGGTTGGCCGAGACAGATTTGGAATTCAATTTGCAATACTACATCACGCCTTGTACACAAGCCAGACTGCACCTTTGTGTCTTTGCACTCAGCCACTTCAGCAGAGATGTTGCTGCCAGAGGTTCTCTATCCTCTCTCTCCCCTAACCCCACCCCCCTATAGATGTTCAGGCTCAATTGGTGAAAATGATCATCTACCATTCCATTTTGAAACTTCCTTGAGCTCCCCTCCCCTTCAAACCAGTTAGCGGAATTGGAAATCGAAATTGTTTCCATAACATATGCTTCTTGGAAACTTTGGTAGCTGGATCTCAGGGCAGTCAGATGCGTAGCTCTGCCCTGGAGGAAGACCCAGAAGTGACCTAGCCATCCTGTTCTCCCCGTGTTCCCAGTTGCCAAGAGCTCACCCCATCCAATCTGGGGCTCTGCCAAGGGATATGCAGTGATGTTATAAGATGGCTTAGCTTGCTCATCAGGGCTAATATGTCCCTTTTTTCAGTTGTCATTGTTCTGTTTAACTAGGAGAAAGAGCCCCAGAAAAACGAGTCTAACAATACTTCTGAAGAGGATACACGTGAGAAAAAAGAGCAAGTCGCACAGCAAGCATTTGTGTTTGGGCAGAACTTGAGGGACAGAGTTAAGGTATGTGCCCAGAGGGCTGCATGACCTGTTGAACTTGGGTATAGATCTTTTTAATGCATCCCCCAGGTTCAACAACAGGAGTCTGCTTCTTAAGGGTACAGCAGACACACAGACTGTTGTGGAGTGAGTGGGCCTGTGACTCACAGCATAGCCAGCAGCTGCCTAATATACATACTTCCCACCCTCTGTTGTTCAGTCACCCAGGCTGCCTGCCACCCCTCTATCCTGAGTGGGACTTAGTGGTGGGCTCCTGGCTGTGGGGACAGAGGCATCCAGTGAGAGATTTTTGTTTCCTTCAGGGTTTTCTATCTCAGTACTAGCAGCATTCAGATCAGATTGTGTTTAGTTGTTGGAGGCCTGACCTGTGCAACACTGTGGGTTGTTTGAGCAGCATCCCTCGCCTATATCCTCTAGATACCAGGAGTATACCCTCCCAGTTGTGACAACCACACATCTCCCTAAATAGTGCTTAATATTCCCCATGAGACCAGATCGCTCCCAACTGAGAACCGTCACCTTATTTTTCAAAAGTAGGGCAGGTAGAAAGATACCATTTTCTCTTCCCATAGGAGCAACAGTATTTGTCACCTCTGGCTGCCCCCCTAGGCAGGTGGGTCCAGTCTGGGGACTGAATCAGGGTGAGGTGCATCTGGTAGTGGCAGGGGCCTCAGCTCTGCACCCTGTGTGCTGGCGCTCCAGAAAGACTAGAGTGGGCAACACTACCTTTCCCAGCCACAGGACGGAATGTTCTTCTGTGCCATTTTCAGCAGCTCATTTCTCAGTAATCTCTTTAGAGAACTGAGAGGCAGTATCAGCGGCCATGTCTGGGGACATCTGTGGTTGTCACACTAGGGGGTAGGTGGTACTGCATTATGTGGGTAGCGGCCAGGGCTACTGCTCAACACCCCACAGTGCCCAGGACAGTTCAGCACCAATCTCAATGATGCTGAGAGTCAGACACCCTAAAATAAGGAAACAAAAGTTGCTGCATAGAAAACAGCAGATTGGCCCTGGCCGGTTTTGCTCAGCGGTTAGAGCGTCGGCCTGCGGTCCTGAGAGACCCGGGTTCGGTTCCCGCAAAGGGTGCGTACCTCGGTTGCAGTTTGTCCCCAGCCCTGGTCGGTCATGCGGGTGGCAGCCACTCGATGTGTTCCTTTCACGTCTATGTTTCTCTCTCTCTCTCTCTGTTCCTCTCTCTCCCTCCCACTCTACCTGAACAAAAAATGGGAAAGTGTCCTCGGGTGAGGATAAAAAAAAAAAGAAAACAGCAGATTGTGCCATCTGTGTGCTCCTACGGTGTCACTGTCCAAGAGAAGCACAGATGCCCCTGGAGACAAAAATAGGTGTTGATGTCGCTTGACTTTAGCCAAAATAATGAGTCCATTGGGGACTGCTGCCTCCAGGGAGGAGGATGTGAAGGGACGCGCTCCAAATCCACCAGCACTTGGGGTGGGGACAGGACGGTTGGCAGGTTGAGTCTCAAGTTCAGGGGAATGCTGCCCCGACACTGGGGCAAGGGCAGTGTCTCCTAGAGGTCCGGGGCTCACGTGATCTCTGAGGTCTTGGTCATATCCCACCCTCTGTATGGAGGGTGACTTCAGGCCATGATCACAGTCCCCTACCTCCTCTGAGCCTATACTTCCTCGCTCACAGGACCAGGTCCATCCTCAGGATTCCCAGGAGCAGTGTGTTAAGTCACATATGCAATGGAGATGAATGGCAGCTGGCATCAATGAAGCTCTCAAAAAACAATGCCCTTTTTTTTGAGAGAGAGAATGGGAGGATGGAAGGAAAGAGGAGAGAGAAAGAGAGAGAAACAATGTTAGAGAGACATATCGATTGGTTGCCTCCCGACTGGGGCCAGGGATCAAACCTGGAACCTAGGTATGTGCCCTTGAATGGGAATCCAACCCAAGACCCTCGATCCGCAGGCTGACACTCGAGCCACTGAACCAAACCAGCCAGAATGAAACAATGCTTTTTTTATGTTCATCATAAACTCCCTAAAACACCAGATTTATAAGTGTTCTGTCTTTTCAGTACAAAAGTATTGATGAAAATGCTAACAAGATGTCAACCTGAGTGCATTTTTTTTTAATCCTCACTTGGGGACATTTTTGCATTTATCTTGAAAAAGAGTGGGGGGGGCATCAATGCAAAAGAGACACATCGAGTGGTTGCCACCCACACAACCCCAACCGGGAACAGGGACAAACTGCAACCGAGGTACGTGCCCTTAGTGGGAACTGAACCTAGGACTCTCTGGTCCGCAGGCCAACACTAACCGCTGAGCCAAACCGGCCAGGGCAACCCGAGTGCATTAAAAAAAAAAAAAAGGTAGAAAAAGCTCTCTAACACTTTACGAATTGATTTTGTATCTTAACCATTAAAAGCAAAAGGTTCTGGAATTGATTACAGCTCCCACGCCCATTACTCACACCAGACCCTCAGGTGCATATTGATAGGCCTGCATGCTGAGCTGTGCAGCTGGGCCACAATGTAGAGGTCCAGAATGTGTCATACTCTGAGTATAAGTGTTTCTGTTTCCTAGTTAATAAATGAGAACACTGAAGCAGCTGACATGGAGAATGCCGGTCCTCCCAGTTCAGAAACACCAACCGCAACCAACTATTTCCTTCAGTATATCAGCTCCAGGTATGTATCTTGGATCCTATGCCCAGCCTTGTGTGGGTTGAGCCTCAGCCTCAGAGGCGTCTTAAGTCATTCATCTGCCCTGACTTGGGCCCAGAGAAGAGGTAGAATCCAGACAAGGAGCTAGCTTTGTCCTTCCTTGGGGGACAGGATGGAGGGGAGGGAGGCAGAATCCTCCAGAATCCTAGTTGCTCTCCAGCCCCTCCCCCTTCGTTCCTACTTGGCACAGCTGTGGAGGGGCCAGGACAGTGGACTTTGATGGACACCTCAGGTAAGGCCTGAGTTCTATGGGGTTGTCCAGTCCAGCCCTCAGAGTGACCTCTGTCACCTAGACCTTTTGCCCAGAGCAGAACCCCATGGGCTGTTGGCAGCTCAGCTGCCTCTTGTTACCCACCAGGTTTCACCCCCCGAATTCACAGCCCATCTTCTCTTCAGTTTAGAGAACTCAACCAATAGTGCCGATGCCACCAGCAACAAATTTGTATTTGGCCAGAACATGAGCGAACGCGTATTGGTGAGTGGCCCCTGGGGGACTGTTCTTTCTAGGGCCCAGAAGGCTTTTAGAGCTCCTCAGCCCGGGTCAAAGGGACATGGGTGTGTCTGTCGCTTTGTCTCTTAGAAAATTAGGGATGATTTCAGTTACAAATAAGAGAAAGAAGACCCAGCTTAGACTCAGCTTAAAGCCAGGGGCAGGGTTATCTTCTTTCCAGGAGCTGGTGTTCCACTTCCTATCTTTCCTCATCCTCAGACAGGTTTCCCTGAGTCACAGGCCATGCTTTTTCCTGGCTAAGACTAGCTTCAGTGACAGCCATCAGACCACAGTCCCTAGCTGTACGCTTTTGGGGCCCCCCAAGCCACTTCTTGAGCCAAGGGTGGTCAGCCCCACCTGACCACATGGCTGCAGCACAGAGTAGGGACAGGTGTGGTGGTCTCAGAGGGACACATCACAGCCAGGGTTGGGTTCTGGAATTGTTTACATGCTTCCTTACTTCGTCCCTTTTCCTTCCCAATCAAATGCCACAGCTCTGCTGTGTCCATTGTTACTGTGGACCCAACCAATTCTGTCCACATTTCAGTCGACATTACATTCAGAAGCCTCCTGCTTCTTTTCCTGAGCATCAGTACCTTTCCGTTAAAATGAAATAGCTCTGGCTGGTTGGGCTCAGTAATTAGAGCGTTGGCCCACAGACAGAGGGGTATCAGGCTCAATTCCCAGTCAAGGGCACGTACCTGGGTTTCAGGTTTGATCCCCAGTCCCAGTCAGGGTCATGCCAAAGGCACCCAGTTGATTTGTGTCTCTCACATCAATGTTTCTCTTCCTCTCTCTCTCTTCCCTTCCCCCCTCCTTCCCTTCCTCTCTTATTTTTTCTCTCTCTCCTCCCTCCCTCCCTCCCACTCTATCTAAAAATCAATGGAAAAATATCCTTGGGGAGGATTTTAAAAAATGAAATAGTCAAAGAGCTACCCCACACTGATGAAGGTGAATGCTGCAGCCCAGTGTAATGTTAGCTGGTGGCACACACCTCCTGGCAATGCCACAAGAGGCCCCATTTGGGGGTTCCAAGGGCAGTTCATGTGTCACTTTTGTGTAAGGTTTTAATACCAAATGATGCATGAGGACCGTTGTGTGGTGCTGGGGTTGAGGGTGGCTAGCTGGGACCCACCCCGTGGAAGACTGTGTAGGCCTGTCTGCCAGGTCTAGGAGGGTCCCCAAAGCTACAGAGGAGAAGCTGTGGGCAGAAAGCAGCCCTCTGCCCAGCAGGGAAGTTCCGAGAGCTGCTGCTGGGCCGAGGGACTTCCCGTTCCACAGTGGTTGACCCACCAGGATCACCCAAACACGCTCCTCTCCCCATGTGCCTTTGTTTCCCTGCAGAGCCCACCCAAATTAAATGAGGTCACTTCAGATGCCAACAGGGAAAACTCAGCTGTCGAGTCCGGGTCTGAGTCTTCGTCCCAGGAGGCCACCCCTGAGAAAGGTATGTCGCAATCCTATTGCTTCATGGGAGGGTGGGGGTACCAAGTGATGGGATACTGGCCATCCACGCCCCAGCCTGGGAGGGATGTAAGGACCACCTCAACACAGCAGTAATAACCTCATGAACCAGCTACTGGGACAGAGCCAAAAAGCCACGGGGGCTTGTTCAGTAAGCAGAAAGAGGACATGTTCATCCAGAAACAGGCCCATGGCGCTGTGGTGATTTGGGGCTAGGGTGGTTGAGGTCATTGTTGCCCTCTCCCTTCACACCCTGAGGCCGCAGAGGGAGTTTTTCTTCAGTGCTCTCTTCGAGGTCTGTCCCCTACTGAATGGGAAATGGGAGACCCATAGCCATGCCAGTAGCTCCCAGCTGGCCTCCCTGCAGATCCCTAGGGCAAACTACTTGGCATGTTTCGGGGTCCACTCCACATCTCAGGGTGTAGCCTGCCTGGGGTAGCCAAGTCAACCCTTTTTGTCTCCTCTGAGGTACACACTCTTCCCCCACCAAGTAAATAGTCAATGTTGTTTAGCTAATAACATTACAGAGTCCCTGGCTGAATCGGCAGCTGCCTATACCAAGGCAACAGCACGGAAGTGTTTGTTGGAAAAAGTGGAAGTCATCACCGGGGAGGAGGCAGAGAGCAACGTGTTACAGGTGAGGTGGCCGCAGGTGGGCCTCTTGGCCCTTTGGTGGAAGTGTGAGGGCCATCATTAGCCTGAAGTTTCTTTGTGCATCTGAGGGTCCAGCCCACAAGGGCTCAACCCACATCCTCCAAGCATTTGGAGAGAGACTTCCTTTGGAAGTAACAGAGGCCCGAGTCCCCACCCTTTAGGATCTTGTTGGTGGGGCTTTTGTTGAAAGCTTAACCAGCCTTGGGAGTCTTCTTATATTGCTTTGTTTTCCAACAAAAGGGTTCTGTTTTGAAACATTCTCATAGTTTAGGGAATTACAAGACTGTTGTGATTTTTCTTACTGTCCAGAGTTTTAGCTATGGTTATTTTATCACACTGGCACCTCATGTTGTTTTATTAGGGGACAAAGTCAGATGCAGCCCAAACTTCACCTTTCTCTTTCCACATCTTCCTCCCTGGCCTGGGGCAACATGTCCAGGTCTGTGTACCTCTTCATCTGCTTTTCATTTTTCACACATATGTGTGTCTCTATAAACCACGTATATATAATATAGGGAAATTGTGGGGTTTTTTATTTTAGAGAGAGAGGAAGTGTGAGGGGGAGAGAGAGAGAGAGAAACATTGATGAGAGAAAACATCGATTGGCCACCTCCTGCATGGCCCTCACTGAGGATTCTGGCCCACAACCTGTATCGTGACTGGGAATTGAACTGGCAACCTCTTGGTGCATAGGTCAACACTCAACCACTTAGCTACTCAGCCACACCTGCCGGTTTAGGGAAGTTTTTAATGTAGTTTTTAGTGATACTTCTTTTCCCACTCAACATTGTTTTTTAATCTGTCCACGTTAAGAGATATTGACACAATGAGCTGCAAACCTTTTCTGTAAAGGACCACATGTGGTCTCTGTTGATACTCCTTATTTTTTTTTTAATATAACAGCTTTATTGAAATATAGTGCACACTAAGAAATTTACCCTTTTAGCCCTGGCTGGTTTGGCTCAGCGGTTAGAGCGTTGGCCCATGGACCAGAGAGTCCCGGGTTCGGTTTTCACTAAGGGCATATACCTTGTTGCAGTTTGTCCCCGGCCCTGGTTGGGGTTGTGTGGGTAGCAACCACTTGATGTGTCTCTTCACATCGATGTTTCTCTCTATCTCTTCCTCTCTCCCTCCTGCTCTATCTGAAGATACATGCAAAAATGTCCTTGGGTGAGGATAAAAAAAAGAAAATTTACCCCTTTAAAGCATACACTTCGGTGGTTTTTATAGTTTACTGACACAGATGTGCATCTGTCACTATTATCTAATTGAGAACATTTTTGTCCCCCAAAAAGAAACTCTGTGCCCATTAGAAGTCTCTCCCCAACCCTCTCCTCCTTCCCCTGGCAACCACAAACCCACTTCCTGTCTGTGGAGTTGCCTGTTCTGGACATTTCACATAAATGGACTCACACACTATGTGGCCTTTTGTGTCTGGCTACCCTCACTGAGCATCATGATTTTAAGGTCCATTCACATTATAGTGTATGTCAGTGCTTCATTCCTTTTCATATCTGAGTAATATTCCCTTATGTTGAAGGGCATTTGGTTTGTTTACTCTTTTAGATTCTTACAGAATTCTGCTGCTATGAACATTTGTGAACAACTGTTTTATTTCTCTTGGGTGGATAGTTAGAAGTGGCATTGCTGCCCTGGCCGGTTTGGCTCAGCGGTTAGAGCATCGGCCTGCGGTCCTGAGAGACCCGGGTTCGGTTCCCGCTAAGGGCGCGTACCTCGGTTGCAGTTTGTCCCCGGCCCTGGTCGGTTGTGCGGGTGGCAGCCACTCGATGTGTTCCTTTCACATCAATGTTTCTCTCTCTCTCTCTGTTCCTCTCTCTCCCTCCCACTCTACCTGAACAAAAAATGGAAAAATGTCCTCCGGTGAGGATAAAAAAAAAAAAAGAAGTGGCATTGCTGGGCCATGTAGTGACTTCATGTTTAACTTTTTTTTTTATCCTCACAGGAGGACATTTTTCCATTTTTGTTCAGATAGAGTGGGAAGGAGAGATAGGAACAGAGAGAGAGGGAGAAAAACATTGATGTGAAAGCTGCCTCCTGCATGACCCAACCACGCCAGGGACAAACTGCAACCGAAGTACGTGCCCTTAGCGGGAACCGAACCCAGGTCTCTCTGGACCGCAGGCCGATGCTCTAACCACTGAGGCAAACTGGCCAGGGCATTTTTTTCTTTTTTAATACATTTTTATTGATGGGGGAGGGGGGGGGAAACATTGATGAGAGAATCATCAGTCGGCTGCCTCCTGCACGCCCCCTACTGGGGATTGATCCTGCAACCAGGCACATTTATCAGGAATCGAACCAGCAACCCCTTAGTGTTATGGGACAGTGCTCAACCAATTGAGTCACATGGGCCAGGACTCTACTCAATTTTTTTATTGTTAATCCTCACCTGAGGATATTTTTCACTGATATATTTATTGATTGATTGATTGATTGATTTTAAATCCTCGCCCGAGGATATTTTTCCATTTATTGTCAGAGTGGGGAGGGGGAGAGAGAAACATTGATGTGAGAGGGACACATCAATTGGTTGCCTCCCGCACAACCCTGACCAGGGCAGGGGATGAACTGCAACTGAGGCACGTGACCTTGACCAGAATCAAACCTACGACTCTTTGGTCTATGGGCTGACTCTCTAACCACTGAGCCAAACCAGCCAGGGCTTTTCATTGATATTTTTATAGAGAGAGAAAGAAAGAAAAAACATCCATGTAAGAAACATCAGTCACTTGTCACCCACGCGCACCCTGACCAGGGATTGAACCTGCAACCTTGGCATGTGCCCTGATTGGGAATAGAACCCATGATCTTTCGGTGTACTGAACAACACTCCTACCAACTGAGCCACCCAGCCAGGGCTGTGTTTAACATTTTGAGGGACTGTCTTCCATAGAGGCCACCAGCAATGTGTGAGGCTTCTGATTTCTCCACATTCTCTCTAGTACTTGTTATTATCTGTCTTTTTGGTTGTAGCCATCTTAATGGGTGTGAAGTGGTATCGCGTGGTTTTGATTTGCATTTCCTTAATTTTTAAAATATCCCTCTAAAAATATAAAATCCACTCTGGTTCAAGGGCAGAACAGGAAACTGGCCAAGGGCCAGATGTGTGCCCGTAGTTTGCTGACCCTTATAGTTCCTGGGAATTAGATGGAGGATCCCAGGGGTCCTGCCTCAGTGGCATCTACCCAGCCAGGATTCCTGCTCACCCAGAGGGCTGCCTTGTGTTCCAGATCCAGTGTAAGCTGTTTGTCTTTGACAAGACCACGCAGTCGTGGGTGGAGAGAGGTCGGGGGCTGCTCAGACTCAACGACATGGCATCAACTGACGATGGGACATTACAGTCCCGACTAGGTGAGCTGTGGTAGGGCATGGATTGGTGAAGAGTTCCCAAGGCAGTGAAGGGCAAGGTCCTAATGGCCCCTTAACCCAAGGAGCAGGGGAGCAGGTCCCCACCATAGAGCCCTCAGTATCTACCCTGAGGCCTGACCGAGAGCATCCAGCTGCCAGCCCTCCCATGACTTCCTTCTTTCTGAATGTGAAAGTGGGATAAAAGTTCTGAGCAATTTTTAAACTTATTTTCTGATAATGAAAAGTGCCTATTTTATGGTAGAATGGAAAAAAGAAATCAAACATCAACTGCTTTCTCCTTATAAAAAGAGAAATCTCTGCTAATAACGTTGTGGTGGTCCACTCCTGTTCTGTGGGTCTTTTTTTTGTTAAGGAAATGGGGCAATTTTTAATTTTATTTATTTATTTTTATTTTTTGGTTAATCCTAACTCGAGGATATTTTTCCCATTGTTTTGTTTTGTTTTTTTTTTAGAGAGGGGAAGGGAAAGAAGGAGGGAGAGAGAGAAAGAGAAAAATATTGACGTCAGAGAGAGACATCAGTTGGTTGCCTCCTGTACGTGTCCCAGCTGGGGCTGGGGATCGAACTTGCATCCCAGGTATGTGCTCTTGACTGGGAATCAGTGTGCAGGCCAAGGCTTTAACTACTGAACCACACCAGCCAGCAAGGAAATGGAGAAGTTTTTTTGTTGCTTGTTTTTTTTAATATATGGGTATTATTGCTTTACTATTTTTTTTTCTTCATTGATTTTAGAGAGAGAGGAAGGGAGAGGGCGAGAGAGATAGAAACATTGATGAGAGAGAACACTGATTGGCCGCCTCCTGCAAGTCTTCCACCCCCACCCCAGGGATTTGGCCCACAACCTGGGCATATGCTCTGACCGGGAATCGAACCGGCAACCTCTTGATGCATGGGTCGATTGCTCAACCACTGAGCCACACTGGCCAGGCTGGAGCAGTTTTATATTCTGCTCTTTTCACTCACTATTTTGTGAGCATATTCCTTTGTCATTAAATTTTCCTTAAAAACATGACTGTATGGGAAAACTGATATATTCTGTTGACAGTGAATATATGTCACCATTTCCCTAATGATGGACAGGTAGTTTGTCCCTAATTTTTCTGAGTGTCATGAATGGTTGTCCTGGGCTGTCTGTACATGAATCTTGTTCCCAGAAGTATGCTGATTATAAAAATGGATGTGGGGGGTGGGTGTATACATATATACATGTTGGAAGAGAACCAGCATGTACATGTGTCTATATTGTGAGATGTATACGTTCACTTTTTTTTTTTAATTTTCCCAAACTAAAATTGTCCTCTGGCTTTACAGAAACAGCAATCCCTGACCCAGTAGTAGCTCCCGTATCCTTTCAGAATCATCCCCGAAATTGGAGCAGGGCCCTTCTGTTTGGGCACCACTCTTTTCCCCTGTGACTGTCTCTTCCATTCCTTTTCCATGTTTTCTTAGGGAAATGTTCAGATGTGCATGGACAGAGCACAGTATTTCCAGCCCCACAGCTCATCACCCACCTCCTCAGGCAGCAGCTTAGGGCAAGCTTTGTTGCCTTACGATCCTCCCCTCCCTCACTGAGAACCATCCCAGGCACCTTTTCTTTCAACCCACACAACCTTTAACCCTGTCACAGACCTTCCCTCCAAGCCCTCTGAACTGCTCCACTGCCTCAGACGTGGGCACTTAGGGCTTTTGAAGCTGGGCTCAGAGGACACGGGGAGATCTGGTCCTTTGGGGCCCAGGACTCTACAGGCCTTCTCAGTTTGGCCCAAGCTGCTCCCTGTCCTGTGTGGCCATCTGTGGCCCAGGATGGGATAACCCTCTCCAGGCCTGTTCTGACGGGGAGAGCTGGACTGGCAGGCAGGAGTCACCCATGTCCATGGGGTCAGGGCATAGGGGGGCTAGGTGGGCTCTGACAAATTAGGCAGGCTGACTGTGGCCTTGGGCCTGCTGGGGGTGGAACTGGGGGTGTCACATGTACATCCAGAGAGGGAAGGTCTGTGCCCAGACTTTTTACCATAAGCTTCCCTCAGTCTCTCTATCTCCTTCCTGTTGGAAGCTCTGAGTACAGGTTGGCTTCAACTCTTTTTCTAAGAAAAACATAGGGACTCAGACTTACTGACTGGGGGACGGTAAGATGGTGTTGACTTCCATATGATTCGTATCACGTTAAGTATGAGCGTACCCAGTGTGCAGCCCACAAATGTCCCTGTCTGGTCCCACCTCCCTGCAGTTTGCCTCTTGCTTCTGCCTAATCACCCCTTTCCCCAAGGCAGCCGCCATCCTGGCACATGCTGTATGCACCAACAAAACCCTCTTATGTGTGGCCTCTGACCCTACCAGTGCTGGTGGTGGTTTTGGGCCTGGTAAGCCAGGTAGTGGTGCTGGGCCAGCGCCAGCATCTGGGTGGCTGTTGCTCAGTGGGTGGCTTTCACCAACCTTGGGAGAATCATGGCATTTCACCACTGGGGTTTGCTTTTCTTCCAGATTGTGTCTGTTCTAGGTGGTTGTTGGGTGGGGGTTAGGGACCAGGCTGAGTGGCCTTCTTGGTTGCAGTGATGCGGACCCAGGGTAGCCTGCGGCTGATCCTCAACACCAAGCTCTGGGCCCAAATGCAGATTGACAAAGCCAGTGAGAAGAGCATTCGCATCACAGCCATGGATACCGAGGACCAGGGTGTGAAGGTCTTCCTTATCTCGGTGAGCAGCCCTAGGGCAGCGACCCCGAGCTGCCGCAAGAGGGAAGCTTCTTGGCACAAGTATTCTGTCACCACAGGGCTGGATGGAGGGGTGCCCTCTGCAGGGGAGGTCAGTAGGTGGGCCCCATCCCCAAAATAAGAGAGGCAGGACTACTACTGTCACCGAGGGCTGGTCTAGCCACAGGCTCGGGGAGCCTCTTGGAGGGGTGGGCTCTGGGCTGTAGCAGTTTTGGTCGGTGGTCCCAGGTTGAGGAGAACCCCAAGGGGCAATTTCCCTACCAGACCTCATAATCAGCACTTCCTCTGCCTCCCCCAGGCCAGCTCCAAGGACACAGGCCAGCTGTATGCTGCCCTGCACCACCGCATCCTAGCCCTGCGCAGCCGTGTGGAGCAGGAACAGGAGACCAGAACACCTGTCCCTGAGCCTGGTGCGGCCCCATCTAATGAGGATGACAGTGATGATGATGATGTCCTAGCTCCATCGGGGGCCACAGGAGGCGGTGAGCCAGCAGTCCTTGCCCTGGAGGGCGCATGGAGGCTGGTTTCCTAGATCCCCTGACAACAAAGGGGATGGGCAGGTGGCCAGGAGCACATAGCACCCTCCCTCTCCTGCTTGTCCCCATCTCATGGGTCACACAGGGGATGGGGTGCCTTCTAGAGTGGGGACCTGATGGCAAGGCCACTGTTTCCCACAGGTGCTGACAACGAAGGAGATGGGCAGACAGCCGGGAGCACATAGCGCCGGGAGCTGGCCGCCCAGGAGCCTGCTGCTTTATCCGTCTGTCCACCCACCCACCCGCCCTTCCTCGGCAGTGTTGAGGCGTGGGGCCTGGGAACCACACTCCCCGCTGGGTTGGCCACAGTCCGGATCCGCACGGCCCGTTCAGAAGCAGATTCGGGAACTGCCTGAATGTGGTTTGGGACACGAGACCTCATCATATTGATGAGCAAAACAAAAAGAACATTTCTTCCCTCCCCCCTTTGAATTGAAATGGCACATTAAGACTTGTCACGGCTTCTCACTGGGACTGGAACGCCTGGTTTCTTCACCCCTCTCATGTCGCCGCCACACCCGTGGGTCCTGCCACCTGCCCAGGCTACCAGGTCTGTTTCCACAAGTGTAAACACTGGCCCTGCTGGACGTTATGCTAACTACTATCTTTATCTCCCCTTTCCCACCTTCTGATTTGGGGTGTATATTTTTAGATTTTTTCCCCCCAAGGCTTTATTTTGGATTTCTTAGATTAAGATGCTCCTGTGTGTTGAGGAGGCACAGTTCCAGCATCCTCATTCTTCCTAAGGTCACAGCTTGTGTGCTGGAGCCTTACTGAGGAGCTAGGGGTGCTCTGAAGGCCCCAACTTGTTCCCCACCCAAGGTTCATCCAGGCTATCATGGGATGTTGAGGGGTAGGCCTCATGCCTAGAGAGAGCTTATCTAGAAAAGGGTCACTGGATCTCGGCGCAAGGGGGCTGGTTTCCTAGATCCCCTCTCACCCATTGCCTGGAGGGTGACATCTTGATGTGGAAACCTGACTCCAAGGGATGGGGTGCCTTCCAGAGTGGGGACCTGATGGCAAGGCCACTACTTCCCACAGGCACTCAGAACAAAGGGATGGGCAGATGACCAGAAGTACGTAGCATCCTCCCCTCCTGTTTGTCCCCATCTCATGGGTCATCCATCATCAGGTACCCGGGCACAGACCTGCTTCCTGCTGTTGGCCATTCCTTGCCCAGCCTGGATGGTCACCACCCCCAATACTATTCATCCAGAGCCAGTGGCCTTCGTGACAGACAGAGTGGGTCCCTAGCAGGGCCTTTAAGGAGTGGCAGGGGATTGGTTCCAGACAACAGGCTGCTGTCCCAACCCTCGAAGCAAGCACAGGAATGGGTGCTGTGCCTACGCCACCCCAGAGAAAGGCCAAGAGCCCAGCTGGGTACTGCCTGCTGACAAAGAAGGTCCCCTCTGCATGGGCCCTGAGGGATTTCCGAAGAAATGACACAGCCCACTCTCACAGGGAGGAAAACAGCCTGGTCTCCGCAGCTGTGCCACCCACACCTTGGGACTGTTTGCAGCCTGAGCCATGGGAAGACACCAAAGCCCCCCACCCTGCCGCCCCCCCAGCAGATCTGGCCACACTTCTCTGCTTTACGCCTTAGCCAACTAGTGACAAGTAAAACCAGATAATGCCCATGTGTTTTGGAACATTTATGTAAGATTGTCATATGAAATGTATTTGGGAACTACATTAAAACTTTTAACTAAACCCCTGGGCCCCTGCCCCACATTCCGTGCCTGGACAAGCCACCAAACTCAGATGCCTTCCAAGACCTGCCACTTCAGTGCAGAGCCTGGCTTCACAGAAAAGCCATTTGCTTCCCATCCCCCACCCCCTACCCCTACCCCCAGTACATTCTCTCTCTTTCTTCCTCTCCCTCCCCCTCTCCCTCATACACACACACATGGGGGTTAGGGGGGGCATCTTCAGCAGCCTCATGAGGCCTGGGGGCCTTTGTCCCTCCTGGGCCTGGTAGCCAAGCAAGGGCCTCAGACCCGGTCCAACCAGTTCTGTGGCCTCAATCTTCCCTGTCCCCCCTCAAGCCCCCACCCCTGGGGCTACCCAGCTGGAAGTTCATGGGTGCCATGGTGGTGCCAGTTGAGTGAGTGTGCGCTGCTCACAGTTGCCAGGCGCTGGTCATCATGGCCACAAACTCCTCATCTGTGTCCACGGAGTTGCTCACACCACTATAGTAGTCCTGGAATTCAGCCAGGGTGACCTGGGGGCAGATAGGCTCTAAGGAGGGATGGAAACCTGGGGTGGGAGGAGTTAGGGGTACCCTGTAGGCACCTACCTGCCCATCCTTCTCAAAGGAATCAAAGTTGTCCAGGAAGTGGCGGAGCGCCTCCTCCTCAGTCCACTCCCCACTCTGCACCTTCGGGTGGGCATGGCAGCTGTACACACCCCGGAGGTCATCCACAGTCACCACACCATCCCCACTTCGGTCCAGTTTGGAGAACGCAGCTGCAATGACTGCCTTCCGGGCCTGGGACATGGGGGGCTGAAGGAGGGGCAGTGGTGACTGAGGGACCCCAACCCCTCCAGGCATAGAGTGCAGAGCACAGGAATCCCTGAGTCTTAGTGATTGATTCTGGATGTCTGATGTCTGCCCGCCGAGAGCTGGACACCACCCCCAAGATAGCTGGGTGAAGGGACTGGCCTCACCCGCAGTGCCCTCAGGAATTCCTCCAGGTCCAGCTTCCCACTGCCGTCACGGTCCCATCGCCTGCACATGCCCTCTGCCTCAGCCGGGTCCAGCACCAGCCCCAGGTCTGCCAAGCCCTGCTGGAGCTCCCTTGCATCCAGGGATCGGCTCCTGTCCTGGTCCAGGCGGCGGAAAAACCTGGGAACAAGGGGCCCAGTTGGAGAGTGGTCCCTGGGGCTAAGTGGTCAGAAAGGAGTGAGGGGACAGCTCACCTGGCCAAACCCTGGATGCCAGAGGCCCCTCGGGACAGGCACTGTTCCCGGAGCCTCTCCACAGTGGCATCCACCGTGTCCATGCTAGATTCAGGTTTTCTGGATAAGAGAGAGGTCAAGTAAGTTTCCTACTCTGCCTGCCAGGCTACAAGCCAGGTGCCCCCTACTCACCTGGCCTTGTCTGTCCTGGATTCTTCTAGGTGGCTTTCCGCTTGCTCCTGCCTTCTTTGTCCAGTGTTTGCAGTGCGTCCTGCTTGGTAGGATTGTTGCTAAGGAACAGTGGCTCTGGAGACTGGGCGGGGCCTCAGCTGTAACCCAGACTGCTGAATGGCAGGGCCAGGAAGAAGGGACAGAGCAGCACTCTCATTGGCACCCCCTGCACTGCTCATTCCCAGCCCTGCAATGCTCAGGCCTGGGATAGAGCCAGGCCCAGACCAGCACGGGGGTTGGGGGTCTCTTTCTGGCCACAATAAGGAAGGGCAGGCCACAGCCCTTAGGGGACCGCAGTGTCCTGGACGGAGGGAGCTCAAGACCCAATTCCTCTGTGACCGGAGGCAGGTCCCCTCTCCTCTCAGCTTCACTGGCTCCCTACCCCTTTTCACAGGGCAGCAACCAAAGCTGCTGAGGGATTTGAGTTAAAAAGGGCTGGAGTTTTCTCAGTGGTTAGAGCATCGGCCCTTGGATCAAAGGGTCACAGGTTCAATTCCTGGTCAAGGGTCCTGTGGGAGGCAACCAATCAATGTGTGTATCTCTCCCTCCCTCAGTTCTATCTAAAAATCAATGGAAAAATATCCTTGGGTGAGGATTAACAAACCAAAAAAAAGGGCTGGATGGCCCCAGCAGGTGTGGCTCAGTTGAGCAGCGTCCAGTGCACCGAAAGGTCGCTAGTTTGATTCCCAATCAGAACACATGACCAGGTTGCGGGTTCAGTCCCTGGTTAGTTGGGGTGTTTATGGGAAGCAACCAATGTTTCTCTCTTACATCTATGTTTCTCTCTCCCTTTCCCTTCCTCTGTCTAAATATAAAAACATAGAAGGGTGGGGGGCTAGAGGTGGCCTAGGCCCATGTCCAGTGGGAGGTCCTGAGACCAGTGCTAGCTGAGCGAGGACACAGCAGAGTTCAGTCGCACAAAGCAGTTCCTGGCAGTTATTTCGGGGCCAGCCATGGTGTTTTTGTTGTGGGTCTTTTTGGTGGGTGGTTTTCAGTTCTCAAACATCAGTTAGTGGATTCACTCGCTCCTGACAAGCTGGTGAGCCAGGGGGCTGCAGTACCAAACGTAGAAGTGACCTCGACCCCTGACATAATCTAAGGGGAACTGAGGCCACCATCACAGAAGGCCTTCTATCCAGATTTTGGACACCTTTGCCAACTGAGAGCATTACACCAACCAGCAGGATCAAAAAGGATGTTGGAACTCCCAGGACTTAAAATGTGGGCCCTGTTTGGGAACTTCCTGGCCTGCACAGATCCAGAGATCATCAGAGGTTTTTAAATTTTGGCCTTGCACACAGCACAATGGTGTGTGGTCAGGAATTCCTGACCCAGCGTTGCAATTCAAGCCACAGCTGATGTCACACACTGTCAGCTCTGAGAAACTACAGTGACAGTCTACTGCACAAATTCCGATGGCTTGCTGCAATCCAAAAATTCTTTGAGTAGTCAAAGAAATACTGCATTGTGTATTTTAATTAGGGTAACAAACATCAATTTTTTTTCTATGGAAAATATAAAATATATACACAATTACTGTAGCTCTGTTTGACATCTTTTTTTTTTTTATCCTCACCCGAGGACATTTTTCCATTTTTTGTTCAGATAGAGTGGGAGGGGGAGAGAGAAATCGATGTGAAAGAGACATATCGAGTGGTTGCCACCCGCACCACCCAACCAGGGCTGGGGACAAACTGCAACCGAGGTACGTGTCCTTAGTGGGAACCGAACCCGGGTCTCTCTGGACCACAGGCCGACGCTCTAACAGCAAAACCAGCCAGGGCTCTGACATCTTTAAGAGAATCAGAATTTCAACAATAACTTTCCAAAAATTGGTAATGGCCCAGGCCCTCCTGACCTGGCCTTTTCACTTCACCTCTTAGCCTCTTTCCCAGCTGTGAAAGGGGACAAGCCTGTGTCCACAGGTGGCTGCAAAGGTTAAACACAGTTGTGTGTGTAGAGTGCCTGTGGCACCAGCTTCTGTGACTATAACAAGCCCCCACCCAGCAGGACCCCGCCCTAGACCAGGAATCGCAAAGGGGCCACCTCTCCAGCCCCCACACCTGGAATAAAGGAGAAGAACCAAAGACAAATCACCCCATTTATTCTTGAGTTCACACAGGCCCCAGCCAGCCTTCTCTCATACAAACAGCCCCGCTTTCTTACTCACTCAGAAGAGAAAATGGGGATATTGTTCTACACTGAGGGGTCAGTGTTCAATACCAGGCAGACAACAGGCACCATCCCGAGGAGGAGATGGGCGCCAACCTTTCCAAGCTGGAATAGGCCCTGCCCCACAGCAGTTTCTGGTATGACAATTTCCTGAGTAAGGAGGCAGGAAGCAGCTCAGGCTGAGCTGAGAAGAGCACAGGGTTCCTTTTTTGATAAAAAGCAAAACTCCCTGAATGGCTCTGGCCAAGAGGGCAGTGTAGAAAAAAGGAGTTAAAAAATAGATTCTCTAGGGACTATAAAAAAGAGCCAGCTGCTTACTACAAAAGCTGGACTGGGGGGAAGGGGGGTAGGGCGGGGGCAGGGACGGGTTCCATCATAAGTGCTAGGGACCTGTGACTTCCTTTAGGGCCCACAGACCCATCCTGTTCCTACTGGGGTCTCAGGGTGTACCAGGCACTGGTGACAGAACAAAATCCCTGCCCTCATGGAGCTTACATTCTGATGGTAAGAAGTTCCATAAAGAAAAAATAAACGCAATGGTAATGGCAGGGGTTGGGGAGGAATTAATTCAGGTAATCAGGGAAGGCCTTTCTCAGGAGGTGACATTTGAGCAACAGCTTGACGAGGAACCGGTCATATGACACCTAGGGGAAGAACATTCTAGGCAGAGAGCAGCCCATGTAAGAGACTTGAGGCAGCACATTATCAAGAAAAGGTTAAGGGGTGCCTGAGTTTTCCTGGGCAGCACAGCCAGGCTTCCAGCATCTCACAGGCACTGCCTTCTGGGTTAAAAGTTGAGGGAAGGACAGTTAAGGGGAAAAATGTCTAGGATTAAAATTTTGTCTTCAAAATAACTAATGCAAAACAGCATGAAGCTTGAAGCCCCTCATTCTCGTCTGGGGTTGGTGTGGCTCAGTTGGCTGGAGCATCGTCCCATGCACTGAAAAGTTGTGGGTTCAATTCCTGGTCAGGGCACATGCTTAGATTATGGGTTCAAATCCCTGGTTGAGGCGCATACAGGAAGGCAACCAGTTGATGTTTCTCTCATACATCAATGTGTTTCTTTCTCTCTCCCTTCTCCTCTCTAGAAAATCAATAAGCATGTCCTCAGGTGAGTATTTTAAATAATAATAATAATAATAATAATAATAATAATAATTCTGACCTGGGATGGAGTAAGAAAAGCTTTAGCCTGGGATGGAGGATACTTCAGGATGAACAAAAATCTGGACAGGGGAGAAGGGGGTAAGAAACAGTCAAATAATCTGGAACTTGATGCCCTCTGCCTCTACCAGAGAAAGAGAGATCTCAAACTCATGCTTCAGGGCCCAGACATCTGGCCCTAAGAGAGATGAAGGGACTAATTAAAAACCCTGGCTAAAGAGGGTAGTCTGGATTCAGATCCAGGCAGGCATGGCCAAGACAGAAATCCAGATTTTTGTGTGTAAATGTTGCCAAATCTTCAACAAGGGTAATTGATTCATAGTTCTGTCCTGGTTTTTGTTTTTTTAAATCTGTCTGGGCTAAACATTTTCATTTGGTCTGCAGGCTGCCTGTTTGAAACCTATGACTTTAAATCCTTGGAAAGGATTATGGCTCTGCTATGGGGTCCCCTCTGGGACAATGGTGACAACTCCTCCCACCCCCTGGAAGATGCCCACAGCAGTGGGAAAAGTCTCCACAGGCACTCTCTGTCTCCATTCCGGAATCTGTGCTCTGGGGCTCACACAGTGGTCCCAAACACTGCTGGCTGGAGATTGTCCCTGTCCCCCTCCTCCCCAGTGCTGTTGGCTAGAAGTAAACTGGGCCCACCAGAGAGTGGGTAGCCAGGCTCACTGGCTGGCAAGGGACCCAGGCGCTCAGCCTCAGCCAGGGCTGCCAGCAGCCCAGCTAAAGGTGGTCGCCGGCGGCATATGTCCTGCAGCAGCTCGGCCCGGGGCTGCAGCTGCCTGATGAGCTTGTCCCTCTGGTGCAAGGCAGCCTGCAGGTTGTGGACAGTGGCCTCGGAGGTCACCAGCTGCTCCTGGAGAGCGGCAATCTCACTGGCAGAAAGACAAAACTTGGTAGTAATGGTAGTAGTGGAGGACCAGAGGTACTCCTCCCTTCTCCTGACCTCTGAGGGCTCCCCATTACCAGGATAAAGGCCCTGCTCCTCACCACTGCCTCAAGGCCTTCCCTAGCTATGGACTGAATGGTTGTGTCCTCCCCAAATGCATGTTGAATCCCTACATCCCAGCGTAATATTTGAAGGTGGGGGCCTTCGGAAGGTAAGGTTAGATGAGGTCATGAGGGTAGGACCCTCATGATCAGATTAGTGCTCTTATATGGAGACACCAAGACAACTTGCGCTCTCTCTCTCTCTCTCTCTCTCTCTTTCTCTCTCTCCCCTGTGAGGACACAATGACATGACCAGGAAGAGTCCTCACCAGGAACTGAATTTGCCAGTACTTTGATCTTGGACTTCCCAGCCTCCAGAATGGTGACTCTCCCCAGCTCTTCCTACAGTTACCTCTTCCCCTATATATTTTCCTATTTGTTGTTCAGCTTAGATGGCTCGTCCTCCAGGAAGCCTTCCCTCTGGGTCCCCTTAGAACCCTGTGTGCACCTCCATCACAACCCCAATCACCCCATGTTGTAACTGCCTAGTGATGTATCTGCCTAAGGACAGAGCTGCATAGATCCAGTATCCAGCACAGTGTCTGGCACATAATAGGTGCTTAGTAAAGACAGATGACTCCAACCAGCTCTGAATTGTTTCCCACCTGAGCCCCAGTACCTCCCCCTGGGCACTTTCTCATCCCTTTCAATTCTCAGCTGCTAGAGGGACTCTTCAAAAACTTCTGATAGAGCATATCCTCCTCTGTTCAAGAACCTGCCATGGCTCCCAATATCTACTTGAGGAAGTTGATGGACCCTGCACCACTCAGTACCAGCTGGTTTTGCCTTGTGGGAAGCTTTTAAGTTAAAAATCCACACTTGTGTGACATCTCTTTACATGTTTATAACTAATTATTTTGGTGTTTGTTTTCTCAGTCCCTCCAGTAGTCCAGCCTCCACGTGAATGATTCGGTTCCCCCCTGCCAGCGCTCCCTTTCCAATCTTGGCTCCGCCTCCGCCCACCTCCTCCAGAAGTTCACCTGGCGGGCCCCGGGCCTCACCGGTCCTTGGTGCTGCCCAGCTCGTCCAGGGCGGCGCGCAGCTGCTGATCGTGGCTGGCAAGGCGCTCGGCCTGGGCGCGCACCGTGCGCTCCGCCGCGTCCAGCCGCGCCTCCAGCTCCGCGGCGCGCCGGTGCACGGCCACCAGGTGTGCATTCGCCTCGCGGATCTGCAGGGACGGTGGCGTGGACATGGCCCCGGCGGCTGTCCAGGCCCAGCCACGCCCCCGGGCCGCCTGGAATCCGTGCCCGCCCCCAGATAGGCCACGCCCCGAGAGGCCCTCAAGCCCAAACACTCAGACTGGTTCCGGAACCTCGAAAATACGCCGATGGGCCCGATCTTGTCCTCCGGCGGCACGCCCCGTTCAGGCTCTGGCGACGGGATTGGTCACTCTGCTTAGGAGTTAACAGGAGGATTGGTCCGGATTCCGCTACTGAGCAAGTCCGACCACGTCCCCGGAACCCGCGGCGCTTCTCTCAGATCCTCACGATCGGGCATGCCCACGCCCCTTAGGCAATCGTACAGCTCCGGATTGGTCAGGTCCCCCACTAGTTATGTCTCTGGCCCTTGCCACGTCCCCAAGCGTAGCGCGTACTTCATCCAGCACAAGATCTGGGCCAGCCGCAAATTAGGCACAGGCCCTGTCCCTCTAAGATCCTAGCACTAGGGTTGGTCACTTTCCCGCTAAGCCCCGCCCTTGACCCTGACCACGCCCCAAAATAGTCGCACGCGGTTTAGACTCCGATTTGGGTACTGACCACAGTGCGTGACCACGCCCCCATGCAGATTATGGCGCTGCAAGTGGCCACATTTTTGCTATGTCCGGCCCCATAATTACCTCTTGTTCCTATCAAACGCGGCCCCGCCCCGCCCGCGCCCTAATCTGTGCAGGGCGATTCGCCTAGTACCTATTATAGTCCAGCCCGTAGATTAGGCTCCGCCTCCGAGGGTCAGGCTATACCTAACCTAGGGCCTTCTGAGCTAGCACTAGCGAGATCCGCCTTCACTGATCCTGGTTGGCCCTAGTTCCCTCTCCAGAAATCCGCCGGAGAAGCACATGTTCTTTCTTTACGCCAGTCCCGAAGTCGGTGCGTGCGCGCAGCCGGTGTCCATGGCCGCGGCACTCAATAAAGTTGCACGCTTGTTGCTGGCCGGTCTGCAAGGGATGCTGCGCGCGTCGCCCAGGAAGTCTCGCGATAGCGAGCGGCGGCTGCCCTTGGCCGCGGAGTTCTTTTGGCTGTGCGGTGCGGGTCTGCGGGGGCATAGCTATGGCGCGGACGCTTCTTCAGCGGTACTGGGACATCCCCGATGGCACCGAGTGTCACCGCAAGGCCTACGCTAGCACAAGTATCAGCGGTGCCGTTGGTGAGCGCCGGCCGGCCGAGCTCCGAGGGAGGAGGGTGCAGGGAGGTCATAGGGTCACTGGATGCTCTCCGAGGGTGGCCTGGGGGGCTGGGGAGCTCGGGATGGCGTATGGTTGTCGTCAGGGTGTCTGTGGACGCTCTGGGACGCGGGGGAGCTCCTGTATGGGATAGACCTTGTGGGGTGTTGGACTAATTCAGAGGGCGCAGGGAGGCCATAGGGTCAGTGGGAGTTGTCCCAAGGGGGTCACATCAGGGTTGGGAATCTCGCGGGTGGTACCTGGTCCTCGACGGAGTGTCAGGGGCAGTCATAGGGAGCTCTTGTGTGAGAGAGACGTTTGGGGGTGGGGGTCTGGCAGGGTTGGAGAGCGCCGGTAGGTCGTGGTACATGTTGCAGGCTGGTCACTGAGATTATAAGAAGCGGTCCCTGGGTGCTGGGGTTGGGGAGTTACTGTTGAAGTTATCACCAAGTTTGGAAGTCGTGGAGTGGGACAGGGCCATTATCAGGATCAAAGGAGCTGCAGGATCGTGAGACTTTCCAACGGGGTAAGGTTGAGATTGTTTGGGTGGGGGGGATATTATTGGGATGTCTGAATGGGGTATAGAAGATTTGAGGAAGTTCTGGAGTGGAATGAGGTCTTTTTAGGACCCAGAAGAGTTGAGTGGTCAGGGACATCGGAAGGTTTACTGGGGCCACCAGAGGGATCCAAGGGGTGCTGAGGAGATCATAGGTGAAGTGAGTCAGGAAAGCCTGGGGGGTGTGAGGGCACTGGCATTGTCCCACAGGGGAGTCTCACCCCTTCCAGGCCCCTTTTATTCTCAGTCTCCCTGAGAAGCTCCTGAAACGGGGCATGGCAGAAGTTGAGTCAACACTAGGAGGCATTTCCATTAGGGCAGACCTAATAATTGCTGTCATTATCTGCATATTTAGTAAGACCATTATCATCTCCATTTCTCAGAGGTGGAAACTGAAGGTCGAAGAGGTGTATTAACTGCCCCGGGGTCTTTTGAAGCCAGGCTGCAAATTCAGGTCTGCTGATCTTCTGGGGGTGGCTGGGGCAAAGAATGTGTGTGCATGGTCTTTATGGAGGGTCATCCAGAGAAAGGGCTGAAGAGGGAGTCCCAGGAGTTGGGTTATCTAGAATCTGCTTGAATGGCAAGTTATCGGGACAATTTAGGGTGTGTGCTAGGATCTCTGTGGGGGTACTTAGGGAGTCTGGGAGGGGCTGCATAGTGTGGGATCGGCTCACTGTTGGAGAAGTTATTCTGAGGGATTCTTATGGGGAGATGCTGACATTGGTGAATGCCTGGAGGGTCATTGTTGTGTCTCAGGAGAAATGAAAGCTGGAGGGAGTCAACTGAGGGGCTTTTGGGGCCTTCAAGGAAAAGATTTAGAGAAGTGGATACTTTAGGGCAGGGATTTTCAAACCTTTTCATCTCGTGACACAAATAAACTAATCACTAAAATTATGCAGCATACCAAAAAAAAAATTTTTTTTCCCCCAATCTGACCAAAAGAAAAAGGTATAATTTTGATTCATTGACACTGAATGGCTATTGTTGTGTTGGTTATTGTCTTTTTTTTTTTGACAATCTAAGGGAAAAGAAGTCAGTGCCACTAACTAAACTGTCAGGTATTACACATTTTAAAAATTCTTGCAGCGTACTGGTTGAAAATTGCTGCTTTAGGGATTTTGAAACAGAAAGACATTAATGCTGGTGTTTGTGAGTGGGATTGTGCATGTGTGCTTTCACTGGCTACCATTCAACATACAGAACTTAGCTTAAACATGCTCCTGGATCCTCCCTTGCCTACCTACTCTGCGGCCAGCAGAGCCCAGCACCTTTTGGACACACTGTAACTGTATGGAAGGAAGAGAGGGAGGGAGGGAGGAGGGAATGAATGAGTGAATGAATGAATGAATGAATGAACGAACGAACGAATGATGTGTCAGGGCACACAGTAACTATGTGAGTGAATGAATTTTTGAATGGATGGATATGGGTACACAGTAACTAAGTGATTGAATAAATGATGGCACACAACTGTGAATGATGAATGAATGAATGAATGAACAAATGAACAAAATGTGCACTGTATCTGGAGGTCACTGTGAGAGGCTGAGAGGAAGCCCGGAGCAGGCTGAGGGGATGGAGAGGTGGTAATAGAGGCTGTGGAAAAGTCTGGGTCAGAGATCTTTGTGTGCGGGGGTCCCAGCATCTGAGGAGTTGAGCAGGCTCCTGGAGGGTGGGCTGTGTCAGGTCACCATACTGGATGATTGCTGGGGGAAAGTTGGGGTAGGCAGTCTTGGCGCTGGGATAATCAGGGGGTTCTCGGGTCATTTGCTCCCAGTTCAAGGACTTCTAAGGGCACATAGGATGATGGGGCACTCTCTGTGTCCAGCTTGGCCAGGACCACAAGCCTAGGGGATAAGGTTGATAAGGTTTCACCAAGGGCTCACTGCATGATGGGTTTGGGAGCATCACTGAATCTTTTCAGTGGTCCCCCCACCCCCCAAGGATGTCCTAAGACCCTTGTTTCTGGCCCAGTTCCTGAGATCAAGACTCACCAGATACCAGGCAGTACTGGAAGGCCCCACTGATTAAGTCTCTTTACAAGGTGGTAGTGAGGGGGGTGGAGAGGTTGGGAATCATGTGTGAAAGAGAGTACCTGGAGGGAAGTGCTTGCTGGGCTGGAACAGAGTCCAGCCTTACTACCCCCTTCCCAGCCTCCAGGCTTTCTAAGGTCAAGCAGAGAGAAATAAGATTTGGAGAGTCTGCCGACAGGGGCCTTACATATGAGAGCCCTCAATTTTATTTTTTTAGTAGATAAATTTGACATGTAACATTGTGTGTATTGAAGGTGTACTAGAGCCCTCTTTATATGTGACTCTTTTCCCCTCGTCCCTGGGCCTCAGTTTACCCATCTGGGAAGTGAGGTGGCAGTGTTAGCCTTCTTCATGGTTGCTCTGAAGATTAGCCCCACTGTCCAGAGTGAAAAGTTCCCCACAGCGGCTCCACTGAGCTTAACCTGAGGTCAGGCTAGGGTGAGGGGCACTGCTCAGCCTGGAAGGTCCCATGGGTGGGGCCTGAAACTGGAGGTTTGGGGACTAGGGTGAGGGTAAAACCATAGTCCTAGGGTCAGATCTACCTGGCTTCCAGACTATTCTGCTTGGTGACCTCAGGCAAGTCACTTTGCCTCTCTGAGGCTCCCACCCTCCCATGAAGCAACAGCTCTAAGGGTACTGAGCCCCTCGGGCCCTGAGGAGGGTAAGTGGAATAGTCGCTGTGCTTGCCACCTAGCAGGTAACAATTCTCTTTTGTCTGGGATGGAATGGGCTGCTTCTCCCAAGAGGTCCCTACTGGCAACTAGTGTTGGGGGTCTGTCAGGAGAGGAGGGGTATGTCATTGCCCTGAGCAGGGTCAGCTGGAGGAAGGGGGAGCCCTGTGTTGGGCTGTTCTGGTGACAAGCAGTCAGCCATGTGGGACCTCATCTGCCCATTCACTAAAGAATGTCTGGTGCAAGAGGCTTCCCAAGGGCCTGCCCCAGCCTTACCCCAGACCCACATACCAGCCCAGATCAGTGTTCACTAGGGATCCTCCAGGATAGAACCGTGGTCCTTGCCAACCACCTGGCACTCAGCTCCAGGCCCAGCCCTCACTCAGGTCCCTCATGCTTAAAAGCCAATGTCAGGGGCAGGATGGTCAGGCCGACGGCAGAGATGGAAAAGCAGATGGTGGTGGTGAGACCAAGTGGGTGTGCACGGCCGCCCAGCCAGCCAGGTGTGAGGGACGGGCCCGGGTTGGAGCTGCCAGTGGGGAGGGGGCCCTCGGTGGCAACAAGGAGGCATTGAGCCCCAGGAGCCAAGCCTCTGCCAAGGTGGATTAGGCCATAGAGCCTCAGGCCCCACAGGAGAAGAGTGCCTTTTTTTTTTTTTCTCTTTTAAATTAATTTTAGAGAGAGGAGAAGGGCGAAGGAGAGAGAGAACATCCATTGGTCACCTCCTGCATGCTCCCCACTGGGGATTTGACCCACAACCTGCGCATGTGCCCTGACCGGAAATCTAACCGGCGACCTCTTGGTGCATGGGTCGATGCTCAACCACTGAGCTGCACCAGCTGGGCGAGAATAGCACCCTTGATCAAAGCAGGACCTGGGTGCCAGGGGTCTGGGGTGCAGCTTTGGCGGCTATGTCTGCACTCAAGGCTAGGGAGCAGGCTGACCATGGGCCCATCCTCATGTTCTCTGGGGGCTGGAGGCAGGGTGAGAGCTCGGTTTCGGAGCAGCAGACCCCAGTTCCCATCCCAGCTGAGATACCTTGGGGCACAATGGGGAACAAGGGAGAGAGGGTCTATTGGGTGACAAAGGGACCTGCTCCCCAGCCAGGGCCACTCCTCAGTGTGGAGGCCCAAGTCTGAGCCACCTACCCATCTCATCCTGCAGGCTTGATCGCCTCCGCCTATAGCATTGCACTCAAGCCCCCTGACTCCTTCCTGGAGGGAGTGGCCAGGACTGGACGGTACACATTTACTGCAGGTAAGCAAGGCTGGGGGGCATCTTGCTTCCCCGCAGAGTCCTTCCTGGCACTGGCCTAGCCAGCATGCCCCTCTGGGCCCCTGACTCAGTGCCCACCCCTTCCCATCTGCCCCATAGCTGCCATTGGTGCCATATTTGGCATTGCCTCCTGCGTCAGTGCCAAGGTCCGCGAGAAACCCGACGACCCCCTGAACTACTTTATTGGAGGCTGTGCCGGAGGTCTGACCCTGGGAGCACGCAGTAAGTAAGCTCCCCAACCCTGCCCTCGACTGACCCTTCTCCCTCTGTGTTCCATCCCAGACCAGGGGCCAGGCAGGGCCAGGTGTGTGGGATGCCTGCTCCAGCTGAGGAGGTGGCAGTCACCCTGAAATCTCCCTAGTGCTTTTGAACCTCAGCCACCAGCCAGTTGAATAATAGTAATAGCTGCTGCTGCTTCAGCACCTACTGTACACCCACCTCACCAAGTGCTCCCCTCCTCCCTTGCCCCCCTCCCTCACTCTGCTGCAGCCACACAGGCCACTTCCCTGTTCCTCCAACATGCCAGGCACCCTCCTACCCCAGGGCCTTTGCACGAGCTGTTCTCTGCTTGAACATCCTTCCTCCAGATGTCAGCACAGCTCTTTCTCTCTCACCTACTTTATGTACAATCTCAGACCCCCACCACCTTCACTCCTTATCTCTCTCCTTTGTGTGTTGCGCTTTATCAGAGAATTTGAGGTTACTTCCTGTTTCCACCTCGGGACCATGAGCATAAAGAAGGTGGTGCTGGTTCTTGCACTACCACCCCTCTCCACAGTGTCCACAGCCCTGTGGGGGTGCTACTCACCATCCCCACTTTACAGGTGCAGGGACTAAGGCTTAGAGAGTGGCCTGAGATGGCCTGAGGTCTCCTGGGACCCAAAAGAGCCATCTGAAATGGAGCAGATGCTGCTCTCCTGCCTCCCACAGCCTTAGGCCACATGCAGATCAGCTGCTCTGGCCTAGCAGGCTGAGAGTGTTGGTAGAAGGTGCCAGCCAGGCAGAAAGGAAGGGCACTGCAGAACTATCCTGCCTTGAACTATCCTGCCTTTGTTTTGTGACCTTGAGCAAGGTCTGGGTTTGACATGTGCCCCTCAAGCCTATGAGCAGAACCCCACGCTTGGTGGCAGCTTTCAGGCTATCGGAAGCAACCTACTCCTTGGTTCACAAACCACGTGGCAGACACAGGGCCTGGTGCCTGTGACCAGGGCACAGGCTGAGACTCGACAATGCAGCATCCCCTCAGCAGCTTGAATGTGCCCCTCCCCCTCCCTCTGGTGCGGACAGCCTGTATTCCTGCTTCTCTCTGCCTCAGTTTTCACACACGCCTTCAAAGTTGAAAGGTTAAGTGACTTAACCCCTCAAGGGAGGGTTGCAGCATGGTCCCTGACACCATCCTCTCTACTCTTGCAGCTCACAGCTATGGGGTCGGAGCTGCGGCCTGTGCATACATGGGCATGACGGCCGCCCTGGTCAAGATGGGCCAGCTGGAAGGCTGGAAGGTGTTTGCAGAGCCCAGGGTATGAGTCCCACCACCTCCCTCAACCTTGGGCAGGTGGAAATGCCCTAAAATTAAATTATGTGCATATTTGTGTGTGCGTGTCTTCCTTTCCTCCGCCTCTGCTCTCCGGGGTGATGGTGACAGGCCAGCACCAGCCAGAGAGACTCAGGGTGGATTTGGGAGGAAGCAAGGAAGGGAGCAGGAGATTAGGCATCTGAGTTTGTACCCCCAATGAGCCAGAGGCACCAGCTGGGCCTTGAGGTAGGGAGAGGGCATTGGGGAGCAGGAACCTGTGAGTGGGAGCTGGGACAGCCACGCACAGCCCTTCCTGATGCTCCCCTGCGGGTCACAGGCCATCCTGTCTGGGCCTCCCCCCAAAGCCAACAGCATGTGGAAAACACACCCAGGGCCCACGCACGGCCTGACTCCAAATTCCTGGGCGTTGGAGCAGAGAGCCCCAGACAGCCTGGCCCCGGAGCCTTGTCCCCATCTGACAGGTGGGTGACAGGCCACCAGTAGCCTGCAGGGCAGGGACCCATGGCAGCAACAAGAGGAGAGAATGAGATCCTCACCGCCTGCTACCTGTCAGGCACAGTGATTTAGGCGGCCCCAGAATACTGGCCGGCTCAGGCCCCAGGCTTTCTGCAGAACTGGCTTAGTGCTTCCTGGCAGCTGGAGAGGAAGGCCTGGCCTGCTCCAACATGCTGAGATGGGTCATAAATTAGGGCCCTCCAGGCCCCACCCTGGGGAGCAGTGTTGTGCCCTGGCGGGGTCTGGGCTCTGCAGGTGGCCTTGGGGGCCACAGGAGCAGGCTGGGCTGGTTGCCACCCTCATGCCCCCTCCTCACCCGTGCCCTCCCATCCCTTCTTTCACGCCCCCCAGAGCCTGGACATGGTTGAAAGCCAAACTTGGAGCCTTGCTTTCCTCTTCTGTCCACCCCAGGTAATAACTCAGCCGGGCGTTGATGGGCTAAAATTAAACCTCTGCAGAGCAGAGCCCAAGCGCTGCTGCTGTCAGCTGCTGGCCGGCCCCTGCTGACTTTCTACCACCCCAGTGTGGCCCTCCAGGTCCCCTCTGGCCCTGCCCCCTCCGCCTCCCCACCCCCATGAAGAGGGACCCCTGCCAAGAACACCCTTACTGGAGTGGACACAGGCATCCCGAGCCTGGACGTGGAGTTCCCTGAGAAAGGATGGAGACACCCCCACCCTGCCCATGGGCTAGGAGATGTGGGGCCTAGATGCCTGGCTGAGCCCTGGGGTGCTGGGCTCCCAGACCTGCCTTCTAGTTCCAGCACTTGATTCTTTCCTGGCTCAACCCTCAGTTTTCCTGCCTGGCAAGTGGGGGTAACATGGTTCCTCAGAGATGTTCGGTGAGGAGGAAAACAACTGTACCCTGGGGGTGAGTGCCCTTCCCACACCCTGTGGAAGACTAGCCCCTCTGCTCCTGCACCAGCCTGGTCTGTTCCTGCAGTGGCCGGCAGAGGGCAGAGCCCATCGCACTCAGCAGGATGGCTGGCCACCCCCAGGACCCTGGCCCTTCCGTCTCTACAATGTGTCCCTGCCTCCCTGGCCACTTCTTCCTCTTCCAGTTCATGTCGCCCAAGTCAGCAGGGGTGATAAACTTGAGGAGTAAGTACCACAGATTCAGACCCTTTGCCTGGAGGACACTGAGGGCTGGAGCAGGGAGGGACCTGTCCAAGGACCTGTACCTGGCCACTCAGTCCCAGAACTGCAGCCCGAACCAGATGTGCCTGCACCTCCCTCTCCTGCACACCCTTCCTCAGCCTGTCCACTACCTCTCCTGAAGCCCAAGCCCCGTGCCAGGTGGAAGTGGAGGTTCACAGCCAGCCAGCCCCTTCTTGCCTCCCGGCCTTGGTTTCCACTCTGGACTGCTCACCGCCCACCCACCCCTCAGGCAGGCTGGTTGCCAGTGTTGAAGCAGCCTTGCCAGGCTCCCCAGAATGGAGCAGGAGGGAGCAGCTGCCTGCTGGCTCCAGGGAGCCCCAAAACCCAGGCCCCCTTGCTCATAAACATTTACTAGGCTGTGAGGGGCTGACATCATCCTCACCCCACACACAGGCGCCTGTCCAGAGCATCCAGTCTCCCCGCCCGTCTGCCTGCACTCCCGCCTCCTGTCCTAGCAGCCCCTGCCCTGGCTGGGGGTGAAGAGGTCTTTCAGATGTGTATGAGGGGGAAGGGCATGGGGGAGAGCACAGCCGGGGGAGGCGGCTTCACTCCCACCCCAGGACCATCGTCCTGGGACACTTCCCAGTGGGGACAAGCCTATAAGGACTGTTCAGCCAGGGGGTCTCAGCTCTTGTCACCCAAGAAAATGTAAGCAATCCAAGTAAGACAGAAAAACCCACCTGCCAGCTATTCCTGTTGTCCTGTTTCATAGACAGGACAGGCCCAGAGGCGGCTGAGCTCGCAGTGGGCACTCAGAGCTGCTCTTTATTAGTTACTGTTGGGGTGCAACCTCTAAATTGTCTCTCAAGAAGACCCTCCAAGTGGGAGTGGTCACAGTGACTGGAACAAAAGCAACCCAGTGGAACAAGGGGATGTCAAAAGCAAAATTATACCCCACAAATTTCTTTACAAAGTTATGTTGGAGCCCGGCTGCTGTGGCTCACTGGTTGAATATCAACACATGCACCAAGAGGTCGCCGGTTCAATTCCCGGTCAGGGCACATGCCCAGGTTGTGGGCCTGATCCCCAGAGGGGGCATACAGGAGGCAGCCAGTCGATGTTCTCTCTTATTGACATTCCTATCTCTCACTTCCTCTCTCTCTAAAATCAATAAAGAAAAAAAAAAAAAAAGCAAAATTATACCCCACAAATTTGTTTACAAAGTTATGTTGGAGCCCGGCTGATGTGGCTCAGTGGTTGAGTGTGGACCCATGCACCAAGAGGTCAGTTCTATTCCCAGTCAGGGCACATGCCCAGGTTGTGGGCCAAATCCCCAGTGGGGTGCATGCAGGAGGCGGCCAATCAATGTTCTCATCTATGTTTCTATCTCCCTATCCCTTCCTCTCTAAAATCAATAAAGAAAAAGTATTTTAGCCCTGGCTAGTTTGGCTCAGCGGTTAGAGCGATGGCCTGCGGACCAGAGGGTCCCGGGTTTGGTTCCCGCTAAGGGCACGTACCTTGGTTGCCCTCAGTTTGTCCCTGGCCCTGGTTGGGGTCATGTGGGTAGCAACTAGTCAATGTGTCTCTCTCACATCGATGTTTCTCTCTCTCTCTCCCTCCCGCTCTATCTGAAGATAAATGCAAAAATGTCCTCGGGTGAGGATTAAAAAAAAGAAAAGAGCCCTGGCCGGTTTGGCTCAGCGGTTAGAGCATCAACCTGCGGTCAGGAGAGACCCGGGTTCGGTTCCCGCTAAGGGCACGTACCTCGGTTGCAGTTTGTCCCCGGCCCTGGTTGGTCGTGCGGGTGGCAGCCACTCGATGTGTCCCTTTCACATCGATGTTTCTCTCTCTCTCTCTTCCGCTCTCTCCCTCCCACTCTACCTGAACAAAAAATGGGAAAATGTCCTCGGGTGAGGATAAAAAAGAAAAGAAAAAGTTTGGTTTTTTTTATCCTCACCCGAGGACATTTTTCTATTTTTTGTACAGTTAGAGTGGGAGGGAGAGAGAGGAAGAGAGAGAGAGAGAAACATCGATGTGAAAGGGACACATCGAGTGGCTGCCACCCGCACGACCAACCAGGGCCGGGGACAAACTGCAACCGAGGTACGTGCCCTTAGCGGGAACCGAACCCGGGTCTCTCCGGACCGCAGGCCAACGCTCTAACCACTGAGCCAAACTGGCCAGGGCAAGAAAAAGTATTTTTAAAAAGTTATTGGATGTGGGCTGGGTTTGCTTTCTCAGTCGTTGTGAGCCCCTCAGCCTTCAGAGTACATTTTGATCTGCCCTCTTCCCTCGTCCATGGCTCCCCTGGGCCCAGCCCCCACCATCACCTGCTGGGCCAGCACGCTCACTTCCACCCTGGTCTGGCTCCCATCCTCCCCACCCCCCAGTCTGTTCTCCCTCAGCAGGCACTAGAGAGCACCTGTGAGCATGTGAGTCAGTGCCCTTACTGCTTGGTAACCCTTGGCCTCCATGAAAAATGTCTCCTCAGTGGAAGATGTTATGTGTGTGTGTGTCCAGATTCCCCCCACATCTTACTGCCCCATCCCTAGCTAGGCCAGGCAGTCTCCATCTCTCCCTGGGTTGCTGCGCCAGCCTCCTCCCTGGTGTCCCCTATTTCCTCTCATTCCCAACCAACAGGCTCTATTCCCTACCATAGCCACCAGGGGGTGCCTATGAGCGCCCGAGTCAGGTCCTGCCCTTCCTCTGCTCACAGCCCTCCAGGGCTCTCACCTTCCTGGGGTAAAAGCCCAAGTCCTCCCGGTGTCCCACAAGGCCCTGCACCTGCCCTCACCTGCTCCCTCTCTCCCCCTTACTCACTCTGCTCTATTCCACGCAGGTCTCCTTGCTGTTCCTCCAGGACACCAGACAGACCTGCCCCAGGACCTTTACATTTGCTGTTCCTTCTGCCTTACTGCCCTTCCCCAGAAGTCCCCACAGCTCTCCCCTTCACGTCCTGTCCTTCAGTTCTCAGCTCAAATGACACCCTGGTGAGACCTCCGTGACAGCCCGTTACATGCCACCCCCAGCCGACAGGGCGCTGCAGCTCCTTCACCCTCTCCCACTCTTGCCCATAGCACTTCCAGCCTCTGACTCCTGTGCCACCATCACATACACTGTTTAGTGGGACGTGGGTCTCCTCGAAGGCTGGGACATCCCGGCTGCCACCCTGGGTCAGCACCCAGCCTAGAAATACAGCAGGCATCTGTAAATATGTGGCCCGGCCCTGCTTCCTGGGTGCCAGCTCTGGGCAGCGTTCCCCACCGTCCCACTAGAGCAGCGGTTCTCCACCTGTGGGTCGTGACCCCTTTGGGCATCGAATGACCCTTTCACAGGGGTCGTCTAAGACCATCGGAAAACATATAATTCCAATGTCTCAGGAACCGAGACACCGCTCCTCTATCCGGCTCCAGGGGGTCCGCCCACATGCAGCATGAGCAGCTGTATGTATTAAAGG